CAGCTGCCCTCAAAAAATGGGCTCTGCCTACCTAGTCTGCAGCTCAAGAAAAGAGGTCCCAAGCACAGAGGGGGCCACCTGACCAGCCAGGAAGGACCAGGACTGAGGGGCGGTGTCTTGCCAAGTGGCCACACTGGTCTGGGTCCAGGCCAGTGATCCCAGTGTCCTCCTCTCCTGCTGCCAGCATGGTCCCCACCCCTATGGTGATGGAAGAAGGGGGAACTAAGCCACGGGGCTGGCAGGAACAGTGCCGGGGACCAGGGCGGACTGGGCCAGAGGCACCACGCACTCCCATCCGAAAGCCCCTTCACCCAAGGCCCCTTCACCCAAGGGAGCAGCCATTTTGCACAGCGGCTCCCAAACCAACTGGCCTGTGGAACCTGTGTGGCAGGAACCTGTCGCCAATGAGAGAGCCACAGCAGTGGGGCTCATGCAAACAGCACGGCTTGGGGTGAGATGCTGGCTTGCCCGGGACCCCACAGAAGGCCCCCCAATCCTGAGCCTCCTTACATTCACAGTCAGAGGGCCCCTCAGGCTCAGGCGTTATGGGAGCGGATGCCAGGGCTGCCCGTGAGAGATTCAGCCCCCTGCCTGGCCTGCCGCTGCCGATTGCGGCTGCAGGACGCAGGTGCAGCAGAATGGCCACGGGACGGTCCTCCACCTGGTTCCCAAGGCCACAGCCCTGGACGCCAACACTGCCTCTGGGGACCCAGGTGTGATAGGGAGCTGCCCGCTGTGACCCCCCCCCATTTCTAGGGGCCATCCGGTCGTTCATTAGGCCCCCATGCATAACGCCTGATGCCATGGGCAAGTCACTAGCAGGTTCGCAGGACGCGCTGTGGACGCTGTGCACTCTCAGAAGCCGTTCGAGACCCCGCTCCTCTCCAGGCTCCTAGAGAGCCTGGCCAGGGCTTCGCCAGGGCTTTGCCGGGGCTCGTGGGCTGCTTCCAACGGCCCGATTCTATATTTCATTATAAACGGCTCTGCCGGGCACAGCCGCAACTTTTACATTTCCATCTACTTTATTATTAATGGCTTTCCCGAACTGTGGCAGCCCGACGTCGCACACAATGCATTATAAATATTTGATCCAGCATCTATAGTCTGCCATTTATCATTTATAACGGGTTACAAAAACATTATAAAACATTTACCGCCGATTTATAGATCATTTTTGGCTGCCACGATGATGTGTTATAGATACATTATTAATCCCCACGCTGTTACAGGGGCCCCTTGTAACCGGGCCTGGCCCCCTGGCTCCTGGCGAACAGTGTGCAGGGCTGGAGTGAGTAGCTGGTGGCCAGGGCCCGGCCCTGCCTCTGGTTGCTGTGTGTCCCTGGCCAGATGTGGCACCTCTCTGTTTGCTGCGGGCCAGTGACAGCTGCCCTTCCAGAAGCATGTCCCTGCTTCCCTCCAAGCCTGGCAGACCCCGAAGGCTGGACTTCGTACCAGGAGGAACCAGGGATGTGGACCCCCCCGCCCACGCAAAATGGCTAGTGAAAGCCAAGGCCCCCACAGCAGGCCCGTGTGAGTTCCCACTTGGAAAACTCCTGCTCATCCTTCAAGACGCACTTGACATTCCACCCTCTCTGCACAGCCTTTCCCGATGTGGCCCATGGGGTGCAACTGCAGGTCCCCCCAGGCCCCACCTGGGCCAGGCGCTGGGACTCTGGGCCGGGCGGGGGAGTGAGTGCCCTGGGTGAGGGAGCTGGACTTTTGGCTCTGCCTGCCCGACTTCTCCAGAGTGAAGGGCAGGGAGGCCCGGGCCAAGGCCTTAGGCCACACCCTCGTGTGCCAACACCTGAAATGACCCCACCTCTGCTGCCCTGGCCTAACTGGGTCACAGCTGTAACTTGCTCTGGGGAAGGACACGGGTGGGGGCTGGGTTGGGGCATTGTCCTAGACCAGGACCCCGAAGGAGAGCCTCGCCTTCTGTGACCTTGGAAAGTGACCACCCCCAGGGTGAAAGTGGGGGCACTGCCCCTGAGGAGCCCTCGCTGGGGGAGATGTGGGACCCCAGGGCCCCACCTGCCTGCTGCTGCTTTCTGGCTGAAGTGTTTGAAGGTCAGGACCCACCCCTTCCCAGAACTGAAAATAAAACCAGAAGGTGTTCCTTATGAGGCTGTAAGGAAACACATGAGCTCATCCCCATGGCAACGCCTCACCTGGCCCTGCCTCTCCCATCTGGCCTCAGCCGGTGTCTTCCTGTCTCCAGTGGAGGGGACTGCAAGGACTGGGGCTGGACCCCTGAGGAGCCCCCGGGGCCCTTCGAGACCCCTGTGGCAGGAGCTCACAGCCACAACTCCCCCTGGAGCTCGCTGATCCCCGAACACATGGGCAGGGACCACTCTCAGGGATCCTGTGGTGTCCTCCCCTCATCTGACCCCTGGGCCCAGTGGCTCTGTGGGAAGCAGCCACGGTGAAGAGCTCAGGGGGCTCCGAGAGGGCGGCCAGGGCTACACGTACCAGCCAGACTGCGGCCACTGGCCGGGCTGGGAGCAGCGGCATCAGCTGACCTGCATACCCCTGCTTCCACGTGCCTCGCCCCACCAGGCCCTGCCCAGCACGAAGCTCCTCTGTCCAGACTGGCTCAGGGGCTGTCCCCAGGGGCTGGTGTGTCCATTCTGACTGTTGGCCCCCACCAGATGGGTGGGGGTGAGTGCAACACCTCTCAAAGAGAGGGAAACTGAGGCCCAGAAGAAGAGGGAGAGCCCCAGTGGGCCCTGTCCCGGCCCATCTCCCCACCCCCTTCCCAACACGCAGACTCCTTCAACCCCGAGCACCTCCGAGGACTTGGTGGGCAGCCCCGGGGAGCCCAGGTTGGAGGGCGGGGTAGATACAGACGGAACCACAGGGTCCGTCCCCCAACACCCACCCAGGTTTGGAGTCCAGGCTGCTGGGACAGGACCCCCTCCCAGCCTGGTGTGAATAACCCGCAGGGAGAACACACGAAGCTCAGGGGCAAGGTGGCACCCGACCATGGGAGGCAGGAAGCCCTCCTGGAGGAGGCCCCCCCGGGAGCTGAGGATGAGTGGGGGCTGGCCAGGTGGGCATATGAGGGGCAGGGCTGGTGCCACACTGCTGGGGCCAGTTTGGGCTTCAGAGGCGGTGCGGCTGGGGTGCTGAGCCGAGGGAAGGAGGGCCAGGACTAGAAGGGCTTGACACTTGGTAGGCTGCTCCCCTCGGCAGCCAAGACTGCCGGGGTCAGCGGGGACAAAGGCCCACATTCAGGCTGGGGAGGCTGCTGGCTGTCGGGTCAGGACTGGGTGAGAGGCACAGGGCAGGGACCTGCTGTAGCAACCGGAGCAGCCCCGGGCACTTGCCCTTGGCACCCTGAAGCCCAGGCGAGGTGTCAGGACACCCAGAGGAGCCACACCTGCTACAGGCCCTCCAGGTCCTGTCACATCTGCTCCCTCCCCTGCCCCATGCCACTGGCCACCCAGGGCCTGGGAGGTGCCCACACCTGGCCTGGTGCCTCCTGGCTGCTCTGCACAGCCACAGGCCCTGGCCCCAGGCCCGGGGCTGGATGTGTGTGCCTGGGGCTCAGGGGCCACCTCACCACAGCACCCCAGCCCTCACAGCTCAGCTCTGCCCAGAACCAGCTGGAGAGCTGGGGCCTGCCCTCCACTCCTTGGGCCTGTCTCCTCCTACATGAAAGGGGCAGTGGTAATCTCCAGAGGAGCTCCTGTGGGCCAGCCCCAGCCCGTCCCAGCTGACAGGCAAGCGCTGCCCTGCAGCCCTGCGGGCCTGCTGCTGCCCGCCCCCTACACAGCCCCACCATGGCCAGAGGGCCTCTCCAGTCTCCCCACAACACGGCACAGTGCCCGGGCATGTGGACTCCGCAGGTGCTGCCCCACGGGGCCACGCATCCAGCCACCTACCCACGCCAAGCATGAGCTCTGGCTCCATTGCTGCCATGTGACTGGAGTGACCACACTGCACTTCTGCAGAGAGAGCCAGGCCATGGTGGCCCCGGGGCTGACACTGGTGGGACCAGGCAGGAAGGGGTCCAGCAGCCCCTCACATCCACGTCCTGGGTCATGTTCCCAGCCAAGTACGGAAACACACCGCCCACCTGCTGGTGGCTCTGGGGCCCTGGATGAGGCAGTGGCACTTTGGGGCCTGAAGGTGTCCCAATGGCTGTTACCCAAGCCCCGCTGGGTGGTGCGGGGGGTTGTGTAAGCAGTGTGATGCAAAGGGGTGTTCTGGACCAGGCGGCTCCTGGCAGCCAGGAAGGGTGGTGGTGCCCCTGAGCTGGGCTCTGTGGGCCCCTCCACAGGGCTGAGAATCAGCCCACTCAAGTGGCCCAGGGCCAACAGGAAGGGTTTGGACAGAGGGGCTGCTGTGCAGGCAACGGCCTGACAGCTGGCAGGCCAGGAGCCCTGGGGAGGGTACAGAAGCGCCCTGGAGAGCAAGGGACCAGAGACCCACGCATGGCCAGGATGGTCGTGCCTCACCCCACTGGGACTGGGTGTCCAGAAGAACCTGGGTCTTTAACCACAGCGTCCCCTGGTGGCCCCAGCTGAGCAGGAGCCAGCGCCCCACCCCAGCAGATCCTGGTGGGGGACACAGGGGCCCACCCCACAGAGTGCAGGGCTAAGGGAGAGCCAGCAGGGGGTAAGACGCATGACACTGGGGCCAGGAAGGTGCTCTGGTTGCTGCAAGTAGCCACAAGGGGCAGAGCTGCTTGTGCAGTCTGGGGACCCTGGGCCCACTAGGGCAGCTGATGGCACACTGCCCCCCACCTGGTGCCCCACACCAAACTCAGGGCAGAGACCCCCACAGCAGGTCCCCACCGGGGGCAGGTGGGAATTGTTCCCCAGAAGAGGCCTTAGGGCCAGGAGGGGCCTGGGGACTGCCCTCTCCCCTCCTGACACCACCCAGACCAGGGCAGGCAGGCCCTCCTGTCTCTGGACAGATCCCTGTGATCCCCCCACGCCCAGCCAGGAGCTGGCTGGCCAGGCAGATGGGACACAAGCACACCAGCACCAGAACTCTCGAGTTGAGAATGCTTCATTTGACACCGCCCCTCACTGGGGATAGCCGCCCCCCATGTCCCTGTCCCCGCAGGCAGGGCGACGACTGGTGGACAGATCCCCATCGCCGCCAGCTGTGGGTGGGGAAGTCTTGGCGAACCGGAGGCCTCCGGGCTTGGTCCAGGGACCCTGGCGGGCAAGTCAAGGGGCCCAGAGCTGGCGTGCGGCGACCCCGGCAGGCTCACATCACTGCCTCCATGTGCAAGATCCGCAGGGCCTCAGAGATCTGGGCGCTGGTGTCCACCTGGCCGTACATGCCCACCAGGAAGGCCCGGTGCAGCAGCACCGCTGCGTGCTCTGTGGGGGAGACAGGACCCTCAGGTGGGGCTGCAGAGGCACCAGGTGCCCGGGTGGGGCAGCCCGCAAACTCACCCTGGCAGAGGAGGGTGTACTCCGGCAAGCTCCTGAGGGCCGTCTGCACCACCTCGAAGTCCCGGCTGCCCAGGCAGTACATGAAGGTGGGCAGGAAGTCGGCCGCAATGCTGGGAGAGGAACGCACTTGGTGGGCACACACCCCCGTGGCAGGACAGCCCAGGGCCCCGATTCAGCCACATGCGGCGCCTCACCTGGGGTCATTCTGGATGGAGCGCAGGGCCAGGCTGAAGGCCAGGTTGCGGCAGGACTCCTCCTCGGAGCTCATGAGCCGCTGCAGGTTGGTCTGTGGGGTGGGGTGGGCGTGGGGGTGGGAATGGGACAGGGAGCCCTGCTATCCAGAAGCCCTCAACCCTCAGGATCTGGGCCTCCTGACGGCTGCCATGACAGCAGGGAAGCCCCTTCCCCAAGCCCCTCCCGAGTCCCTGCGTGGCTCCAGACCGCTGACCCATGGGCAGGAAGCCATCATCGCGTGCCAGCCCTGAGCAGGGCAGTCTGCGGGGACTGTGAGCAAGCCTGGGGGACACGCGCTGCCCCCACCCCCGAAGGCTTTCCACCCAGGACCCCTCCGTCCAGGCCTCTGAAATGCCCACGCAAGCAGGCCCCACCCCCGCTCACCGAGAAGAAGCCCAGGACCTCAGGTCTCCGGCGGGACAACTCGTCTATGTCGCTCAGGACTTCCAGCAGGTCTGGGGTGGGCAGGGGAGGGCCGGACTAATGCAGCGGGACCCTCGGCTGGCCTGGGCCCCACCCCCCCACCAGGTGGCGGAAGAGGTCGGGGGAGTCACGAGGACCTCCAGGTGGGCCACAGCCTAGCCTTGGAGGGCTCTCCAGGTGCAGTGTGACTGAGCAGAACCCTGGTGCTCACACCTCCCAGAACTTTCTGCACCATTCTGAGCACCTGGGGAGGCCCAGGAGCAGCGTTCCAGCTGCACCAGGACAGCGATCCCTGACCAAGGCGCCAGTGGTCGGAGAAGCTTCCAGAGGATCACCCCTTCCCGAGACCCTCCTCTGGGCAGGCCTGAGGGCCAGGGTCTGCATTTGGACGCAGAGGCCCTGGCTCTACCCCTCCTGACAGGTGGCAGCCCAGACCAACATATGTCACTCTTGGGCACCCCAGTACCACCTGCACAGGTGCCCTGTGGCCTGACCCCCGGACCAGACCTCACTGTCCTGCAGGGGACACCAACCGTCAGCAGGCCCACCACCAGCTTCCCTCCTGCAGGCCCCCCACACCCTCTGCTGTCTGGAGCCTGTCATCCAGGGCAGCTGCCGGCCTTCCTCCCAGCCTGTGCCCCTGCCCTCCCCCAGCGCCCTCTGCCCCCAGGCCCAGTGGGGCCTGCTCTTCCAGAGGCCCCGCAGCAACTGCCCACGGGCCCCAGGCCCCACACGCACCCTCAACAGTCTGGCCTCGGGAAAGCCTCTTCATGTAGGGGGCCACCTCGGCCGTGGTCAGAGGTGTGAAGAGGGAGGCACTGACCAGGGGTAGGGAGCCGGCTGAGCTCTCATCTGGAAGACAGGAGGCCAGTGCTATCGCCTGCAGGCCAACGGCCGGACCAGGAGCACTGCCCGGGAAAGTCCCCCTGGGGGTGCCGTCAGGAGACCCTCCACACCCAGGAGGCACAACCACCACCCCAGGCTGAGTAGGGCACCTGGTGACCTGCTGGTGCTCAGTAAAGATGACGCCACAGCAGCCGAGGGGAGTGCCTGTCCCCTGTGCTCACTGACATGTGGCTCCAGACACCCAATACTGCCAAGAGTCACACTCCACGCCCACGGTTTGGCAGCAGAGGCCCTGAAGGGCCAGCACCTACAGGGCTTCCGGCCACTCACTCGCACACTGGCCCACCGGCCACTTGTTGGACATCTGGAGCAACGATGGCCCTGCCCTGCGCTGGGTCACCGATGGGTGGCGAGGGCCACGGGGCAGAGACAAGGACAGAACAGAGGTACCTGGCCATTCTCCGTGGAGGGGCAGGCGCTGGGCAGTCACACAGGCCACACCGCCTCTCGTGCTGCCTGCACACGCGCCCACGCCGCCCAGGTGCTCTGGAGGTGGCTCTCAGGGCTGCCGTGCTGCCGCCAGGCCTGCAGTCCCTTCCCTGTGGAACCCCAGGGCCCACTCACCCTCACCCTCCTCGTCCAGGCCTTGGTCCACGCGGCCATCCCTGCTAGGCAGGCTCAGCCCCGCGAGGAGGGACTTCAGCATCACCAGGTCACTGCTGTCGAAGGACAGGTCGCTGGGGAGAACACAGGCCAACCATGAGGATGCGGGTCTGGGGGGGTGGTATCCGGGGGGGGGGCCCTCCCTGCCCACACTCACTGGAGCGCATCAGAATGCTTCTGCAGGAAGGCCACAGCGGCCGCGGGGCTGCGTGTGATGTACGTGTGGGTGAACTGCACGAACTTGCTGAGGAAGGGGGCCAGGTGGCGGGAGGACTTCCTGTAGTTCTGCAACAGGGCCACCATGCGGCGCGAGGGGCTCAGAGCCTGAACACACCCCGCCCACCACGCTGCCCCCAAGGCCTCCCCAGGGACCCTGGACACCACCCAGGCCACCAGCTCCGACTGGCCGCTGGGTGTTAAGGGTCCCAAAGGGTCAAAAGGGGCCTTGCTCCTCAAGCCCCTTGTAGCAGACAGGGTGACACTTGACTGGAGGCTCGGCAGAGGCTGGGCAGCTGCAGAGAAGGCAGCCCTGAATCCCAACTGGGCACGTGAAAAGCTGGGGGCTTCCCAGGGTGAGAGCTAGTTTCCTGGGGCGGGTCAAAGACCCACCCCTGCCCTGGTCAGATGGGCCTGGCTAGGGCTGTGGAAGCAGCTGGTACGAGAAGGGGGCAGTTGGTTGGGGAGGATGCAGGAGCAGGTCCCCACCCTGGGCCCGGGTGTGCACAGGGGCAGAGGTGGTCACCCACCAGGAGCAGGCGAATGAAGGAGAGCAGGCAGTCCCACAGCGCCCCCTGGTGCTCGCTCTGGAACACCTGCGGCTGCAGCAGCTCCAGTACGCCCAGTACATGCAGGAAGAAGGTCAGGTGGTTCTGCTGGCGAAATTCCTGGAAGTTGAGGTGGGTGCGGCCGTGCAGGAGAGCAGCAATCATGGGCAGGTGCCTGGAGACAGGAAGAGTGCTCGGTGGTCCCGACCACCCGACACAGGGACACGCGGACCACACGGGAGCCGGCTGAAACGCCTGTCCCGGATGGCTCTGGATCTCTGAGGAGGTGCAATGTGCTGACTGCCCTCTGCTGGGGTCCCGGACCCCCCATCAAGGACTCGTGGCTGGGCCATTCCTGGCTGCAGCTGTGCACTTCCCCCCACCAGCTGTTGGCCCGTCTGGCGTGACCCCTCGGGTGGGGCGGGAGCACCTTTGCCAGGAGCAGAGCTGGTACCTGAGCAGCAGGATGGGGTGGGCCACAGCCAGCTTCCGACAGGCCATGTTGGCATCGGCCACACGGCTCTCGGATGACCGCGAGTCGCTGGTGTCGGCGAGGAGAATGATGAAGCGGTGTATGAGGACATCCAGCTGGGAGGGAGGGGCAGAGGCTGGGGCCGCTGTGGCCTGCACACCTCACCTGCCCACCCCAGAGCCTGCTGCCGGCCTGCAGGGGCTGCGACAGAGCTAGGCGGGCTGTGCAGTGGCCCAGAGAAATCTTCCCCAACGCTCTCTGGTGCATATGCGGGCCAACGAGCTATAGCCAAAGTCCCCAAACTCAAATAGTCAGTATTTCAAGTCGACCCCTCTCCACAAAAGCTCTCATTTGGGCCAAAAGACCTGATGAGCACGGGAAAACCACACATCTCAGGCCCAGTCCGACCAACTGTGTGAAACGACAGAGAAACACACACAAAGCAAGCTGGCGCGGAGCAACAATGTGCCACTCCGCAGGGACGTGGGCACAGGGGCCTCAGGCCTGCCTCCTGCCCCACACTGAGAAGTACCCCCCCAAGGTGGACCCCAGCAGGAGGCCTGGCCCACAGAAGCCATGAAAACAAGCGCTCCACCCACACCTGTGGCACATGTGGGTCTCAAAGTGACTGCGTTGCAGGGGGCACAAGACACAAGTCTGCGGACTGACAGGCTGGCAAGCAGATGTGAGGAGGGGCGGGGTGAGAGGGCAGACTGCGGGCGAGGGCACGCTCCTGGCTGCAGGTGGCTACAGAGCATGTAACCATCAAATCTCCTCCTGAGCACCACACAGCTCCTGAGCCGGTGGCCCCTCATTACAGGAGACACTGCTCTTCTCTGGCCCACGCTGAGGACTTTTAAGGAGAAGAGCCACGTCCGAGACCCTCCACCAAGTCGGAGTGGGGACAGGGCCCCAGATAGGACACCACAACACACCAGGCTCCTGCGCAGTTTTGAAGTCTAAGAAAGCGCGTGTCTCTGGTCCCCAGCTCGGGTCTCCACCTCCTCGGCAGAGGCACGAGGCACGAGCAGGGCACCGGCCTCACCTTGCAGATGCTGCTGGCGGTGGCGCCCACGCTGTGCAGCAAGGCCTCGGGCGCATGTGCGCGGAGCTCCGGCCGCTGCAGGTAGAGCTGCACGAGCAGGTCCCGGCAGCGCTGGCCCAGCACGCTGGGAGAGACAGGGAGGGCGGGTGAGGGGCTGGCAGGGCGGAGGACGGGGCCGGGGTGCCCAGTCCCGGTTCACAGTGTGCTGCTCACGTCGTCAGCCCGGGACCGTCAGCCCGGGAGCAGGCGGCACCCTCACCTGTCGCCCCACTGGTGGATGCAGCCCATCAGGTGCGCAGTCACCTTCCTAACGCTGTCGTCGTCCCCACGGCAGCAGCTGAGCAGCAGGGGCAGCCGGGCCTGGAGTAGGCTGCAGGCCGCGGAGTCCCCATCCTGGCTCCTGGCCTCCGCCTCTGCCAGGATCAGCTCCACCAGGCCGACGAGCTCGGGGGCCAGGACACGCAGCACCTGCTCCTCCCTCCGCTTCTGCAGCAGGCCCACCAGCCCATCAGCCCTGGGACGGAAGGCAGGGCTCCCACATGCCACCCCACCCTGCAGGCAGGGTGCTCCCAAGACCTGCCTGCGGGGTGCGCTGGTCCCGTCCCTGCCAGATCCGAGGCACGTGGATGCAAGCCCAGAGGAAGTCCAGAGAGGCTGACGGGTCGAACCTGGGGGGGTGGATGAGGAAGGGGGTGAGGAGCGGGGCTGAGCTCCGGGCCGTTTTGGTTTCTGGGCAGAGTGCAATGTGGCGGTGGTGGGGTGGGAAGGGGACACTGAGAGGCTCTATGCAAGGATACATTCAGGCCACAGACACCACCAGGAGCTCTCAAGATAAGGGCCCAGGTCAGCGGTGGGACGGCACGGTGGCCCCAGCCTGCCGGACCTCTCCCTACCACATATCGGCCCTGCCCACCCGCAGGTTTGCTAAACACTGGGCCCCAGAAGCACCGTGTGAACAACAGCCCCTGACGAGATCCGAGGACAGTGGACTGTCCCGTGCCCTGGCTATCTGCCCTGGGGTCACTTGGAGCAGGGGCCCACTGGGGTCACTGGGCCAAGCAGGAAGAACCCCAGCGGGCAGACAGCCCAGTGGGCCCAGGGGAGCCAGAGGGGCAGGTGGGAGGTGGGGCTCACCTGTGCTCCCGGTTCTTGCCCAGCAGGACACGAATGCACTGGTGCAGCGTGGACCAGTTGGACTGGTGCGTGAGGAGGGCCAGGAGGTAGGGTCGAAAGGTGGGCACGTGAGGGCCAGGCTGACCTTTGCCCTGGGGAGGAAGGAAGCCTGGGTGATCCTTGCTCGGGCCACAGATAACAGAGAGGGGGGCTGCAGGGAGGGAGACCTGGAGCTCCCGCCCTGGAAGTGGCCCTGGCTGCCTGCATCCCAGGCCCGGCAGCCACTCTGCAGAAGACACACGTGCTGAGACAACCCGACTCCTCAGAGACGGGGACACCACAAGCCAATGTGCCGGATGAACCAAAACCACGTCCTGCATGCAGCCGCCGGCACCGGGGCTGTCCAGGAGACTCAGGAATGACCATCGTGCAACTGTGACCACAGGCCCAAGAGCAGGCACAGCCCAGGTTGTCCCAGCTGCGCTCCGGGCTTCCAGAGTTCTCTGCGGACAGACGGGCACCTGAGGGCCCAGCCCTCCCTGCAGGGCCCAGGACAGCCCCGGCTGCTGAGAGGACCCATCCCCCTTGTCAGGGGTGCTGGGCTCCGCTCCGAACCTGCTGGCCATGGGGTCGCCTGTCCCTTTCGGAACGACACACACCCGCTCCCAGCCTGTGCCCCAGCACACAGAGTGGCCGGTCTGTGGCAGCTCGCAGCCCACCTTGCTCCGGGAGAACAAGAGCCTCTGCTGCAAGTCCGGGCAGCTGCTGATCACCTCGGGGTCCAGCATCTCCAGCCAGTCCACCAGGAGCCCTGAGCAAGGTCCCAGCCACACGGCCTCTGGGCTGAAAGGGAGTGGAGAACTCAGGGGCACTGGCCAGGGCTGCTCACGGGGCTGGCTGCCGCCCTACCCGCTCACCTGCCGCCGTCGGTGTCCTGCTGCCCACCAGCCGGGGGCTCCTCCTTCTCCTGCAGCAGCAGGGAGCTCACCACGGCGACAGGCCTGGAGGCTGGGAAGGTGGAGGTGGCAGAGAAGAGGGCAGACAGCAGCTCCTCCAGGTAGGGTGACCGCACCTCTATCAGGCCCCGAAGGACTGCAAGGGGCACAGAGGCCGCATCACTCAGCGTGGAAATAGAGCCAGGCAGTCCCCAGACCACTGGACTCTGGGACAGCCCCCCATCTGGGCCAATGGCGCCTGGTGGGCCCACACCCGGGCTGACCAACAGTGGGTAAGGCTTGGGGACCTGCCTTGGGGTGAAGGGAGACCATGGGGCGAGCCAGTCAGAAACAGGTGTGGGTTTGTCATGGGCATGAATGCCCAGTAGAGCCTGGACAAGGCCCGCTGGGCTGGGTCTGTGCAAGCCTGGGCCCCAGTACCTTTGTCTACAAGCTCGGGCTCCACGCCACACTTCTCCCCAGACCGGAGGGCAGCGACGAGGGACCGGGCAGTGGAGCTGACCACCTCCACGTCCCCACGGAAGGCCAGGGCCTCGGCCAGGTGCAGGAACCCACTGCGCACTATAGGAACAGACCCACATGACCTACCGGCTTGGCCTAGCTGGGAGCCCCAGCATCGCCGATGCCCCCCGCATGCCTCCCAAAAGGCCTGTAGGCTTCTGAGCATACAGACCCCTCGGTACCGACAGGGCTGTCCCCTCACTGCAGGTGCTGGCTACCCGTCCCCGTCTGTCCTCACCATCACTGATCCTGCGTCGCGCCGAGTACTGGGTGGCAAACAGCTTGAGCTGTGCCCGCAGAGGCCCAGCCTCCGCGCCGGGGCTGTCCAGCCACTGCAGCATCTGCAGCAGCACTTTGAGGAACAGCGACGAGAAGCCGGTGTCCTGGGGCACACAGCGCTGCGGGGACAAGCACAGCCGGTGTTCACAGCGGCTCAGAGGACCCGCCCAAGGCTGTGACCTGGGACACAGGGCTCCCCAGGGGCTCCGGGACCTTGAACGTCACCTGTACACCACCGCGGGCAAGGCACCTGCGGTTTGCACTCACCTTCACGGGGTCCCAAGAAAAGACTAAACACAACACACAGAGACACAGATGACAAGACACACGTGACCTGAACCCAGCAAGGAGACTCTGGCAAAACCAGCATGTCCCAGTGACAGGCACATGGCTGACACCACCCCTCCCTTGCCGGTGGGGCAGTTTCCACAGTGAGGACGGGGCCTGGGGCCCACCCAGCCCATGGGGACGGCGAGGACGCACCCACCTGGTACTGGCAGAGCAGGCGCAGCAGAGGACAGGCGAGGAAGTGGCTGCGCTGCATGGATGCCACCAGGGCCCCGCCACGTGGGGAGCTCAGCAGGGGGGCCACGGCCTGCAGCAGGCGCACTGCGACGCCCGGCACCTCGGGGGTCCCCTGGCGGATTCGTGCCAGCTCCTGGCCCAGGGCCTGCTGCAGCGCCAAGGCAGCAGGGCGGGCACTGGAGATCTGCCACCGGGGGCCTGGGCTGAGCGGAAAGACCTGGGCAGAGGAAGGGCAGAGGTCGGCACGACTGCGGCAGAACGGGGCCCTTGAACCTCTCGCCCTGTGCCCACCACCACCACCACCCCCTCGTTGGCCCAAGGCCTGTGCTAGAGGCCCTCCATTCCCTGTGAGGACCCAGAGCTGTCTCTCAACCCCATCTAGAGTCTCCGGGTAAAAGCCCTCCCCCTAGGCAGGAGGAGGGATGGGGCAGAGGGCAACCCAGGCAGCAGCGGTGGTACCTGCAGGAACACGCCGGCCAGGTCGTCCTCCGGACCGAGCACCCGCACCTGAGTCCCGGCCCTGACCCTGCCCTGGCCTGGAGGTGGCTCTGGGCTGCTTCTGGGTCTCGGTGCTTCCACACTGTCTGCAGGAAGAGGGGCGGGCCTCAGCCGGGGCCGTGCCCATAAGGCCATCCTGGCCCAGAGGCTCACCCCTCACACAAAGAGAGCCTTGGGCCAGGAGCCCCAACACTTGCCAGTGGCAACCATTTCTGCTGGGTCTGGGGACAGGCCGGGCTAGTACCTCGCCGGGGAGGCAGGGAGGCTGTGAGCAGCGAGTGGAAAGTCTGGCCTCCTGACGCTCCTCGCTCGTGCTGAACCTCGACCAGGTGCGCCATGTAGTCTGCGAACAGCAATGGGTCAGCACCCAGCCCACAGGAGCTGGGATCCCCCCAGACTTCAGAAGCCTTCTGCTGGGCCTTTCAGCAGGAGCAGGTGGGGCTGGCCACCCCGCCCCCGAGGGCACGACAACACCCAGGCTGGCTTGGACGGTGATGACCCAGCCCCCCTGAGCACCCCAGCTTCTACGCTCCTGCTCAGGACTCTGTGCGCCCCTGCCCACCCCTCTGTTCCCAACCCCACACCGCACACACCAGGTCCCGCTGCTGCCCAGCAGTGCAGGGGCCCCGGCCCTTACTCTTGTCCATGATGTTCTGCTCCAGGGTCTGGGGGTCGTGGGCCACGGCCTGGTCCAGGCACTGCAGGAGCTTGCTCATGCTGGACACGGGGATGCCAAAGGACTGCACGAACAGCAGCAGCTGCTGGGGCTCCAGGTCCTGCAGGGCTGAGGTCGTCCACTCAGTGAGCCCACTGCGCCTGGCCCCCCGTCCGCCCATGGCCCCGCAGCCCACACGCTGCCCAACCGCGTGTCCCCGAGAACCCTGAGGCCTCCCCTCCCCGGTCCGAGGTGATTGTTCATGTCGGGCCCTTGGCCTCGCGCCTGAGGAACAGGATCGAGGACAGGCATTCTCCCGGGCGTGCTCCTGGGGGCGTGAGCCTGGCCCTCCTTCTCCCAGCCTCGCAGCCCAACCCGGGTCACACCTGCGTCCACCAGCCGAGGGACCTCAGAGCGGATCATGCGAAGCTTCAGCCAGTCGGGGAGCAGCAGCGCTTCCTCCGAAGTGTCCACCAGGAAGGCCGTAGGCAGGGGCTTCTTCTCCGGAAACCAGACGTCCAGCAGGGCCTGGAACTCACTGTCGCCAGCTTCAGGAGTCAGAGTGGGGTGAGAAGCTGGGCCGGCTCCGCGGGGCCCTTCCCAACCTCCCATCCGAGGAGCCGCAGCCCTGCGCACAACTGCAGCCCCCACCAGCTTCCTCGCCTTCCCCGCAGACGGAGGCTTTGGGGGAACGTAAGAGTCGGCCATGAGCACGGCATCTGCTGTGAAACCCCAAGTTTCAGTGGTGGGACCGAGGGTAAGGAGGTGGAGGCCCAGGCACTGCCCACGGGCCTTTCCTGATGCCAGCACTGCGTGTGGCTGGACGGTGAGAATGCACAGCCGGTCTGTCTGTGGTCCCGCTGCACAAAGGGTGCCGTGTGCCCCCTAGGACCCCTGGATAGGCAGGGGGAGGAGTCCCATGTATCTTCCCCCCGGGAGGCCCTGGCCGGCGGGAATAGGGCCCTTCCCACACCCAAGCAGGCCAGGCTTTTCCTGCGCAAAGCCACAGCTCACCACGGGGCGGGCCCAGCGTCAGCAGGATGACCATGGCATGCACCACCAAGATGTGCATGGTGGCCGCCTCCCCGCCGGTCCAGCGAAGGAAGACCTGGTCCTGTGACTCCGACTGCAGGGAAGGGCAGGTGAGGGCCGGCCCGCAGGTGGGACAGGGTGGGGCCGAGGTTGCAGGGACGGGGCAGCAGCCTCACCCAGCTGTACACCTCCTCCCCCTCCTTGCTCTTGCGCATGCGTCGGACATAGCGGGAGAAGATGGAGAGCAGGGCAGCCAGCACAGCGTCGGACTCGGTGCCACGGGAGCGCTTGGAGAAGAGATGGGCCATGATGGTGGAGCGCTCCACCACAAGCCGGGCCACGTCCTGGGGGCAAGCGTGGCCGTCAGGGTCTCCATCCCACACTGGGCCGACAGCTGGGCCAACAGTCAACAAGCCGCCTGTGCTCCAGGACAGTTACCACCAGCAGTGTGCCTGTGGCGGGGTGGGGCGCCGCGCACAGGGCCCCTCAGCCCTCAGCCCAGCGGGTTCCCGGGAGAGGGCACGGCCCTGGCAGCATCTGTGGCTGTCACCAGCTGTCCCACAGGGAGAGGGCCCACTGCCACCATCTAGCCATGACCAGAGTGCGTGACCTCAGGTCCCAAAGGGAAGTCTGCACACCCATGCACTCCACACTGCGGCTGAGGCTCTGGCCCTGGGGCAGGGACCTGGGCAGAGAGAGCCCGCCCCTAGGGCCCTGGTCTGCCCTGTTCCCCATAGGTGCTGCCCTCGGCCACTGCGCCACAGCAAGCCCAAGGGAGAGCCACGCAGGAGGAAGCCACCTGGACAGGAGCAGGTGAGGAGAACCAGGGAACGTGCCGGAGCCCAGCTACCCCCCCAGCAGGAGCGGCAGTGCAGGATGCCTGGGTGCGGCCAAGCCAACCTGGCCTGGAAGACAGCGGCTGGCCTGGCACCAACCGGCCCCTGGTTCTCCGTGGTTCTCCCACCCTCGACGTCTGCTCTGGACAGAACGACCCCTCCCTCAAGGGCCAACCCTGCCGGCCGCCACCTCCTCACCAAGGCCAGGTCGCTGTGCTGGCCCTGCTCCCCAACGGGTGCATGCCGGGACAGGTAGACCAAATAGGCACTGACAGTCTGGGGGTCGGTCTCCACGTGCACAGCCTGCTGCAGCGCCAGGGCAGCGGGAGCGCTGACACTGGGGAACAGGGGCAGCCGGGGCAGGTCGCGCAGCAACCACTGGTAGCCCTGCAGGGCCTCCGCATCCCCCGAGTCCTCCCCCGCTGGCGCCTCCTTCTCCTCGCCGTCCCGCAGGCCGCCCTCTGACAGCACTAGCGCCAGGCCCTGAAAGCAGACACCCAAGTCAGCTGGTCTCAGGCCTCCACCAGTGTGCCCAACGGGGGCGGGCCGGCTCCTGAAGCACAGGGGACAGGTGGGCTGCTGGTGACAGGCGCTATGCCCACCACAGCTGCTATAAGAGAGGAGAGAGCAGCAGCACAGCCACCCCCCCCAGCAGAAGCCGACGGACTCGTGGCAGGTGACTGCTCACCCCAGGGAAGGAGATGCCAAGGAGGGCAGGGACAGTGGGCGGGGCTGTGGGCTCACCTTCATGGCCAGCACCCTGGAGGCCACCTGGGAGGAGCCGAGGCGCCGCAGGAAGTAGTCCAGCACCTCACACGTGGTCTGCTCATCAGCCTTGGGGCCCAGCAGCAGGTCCTGCAGGCGGCCCAGCAGCTGCCGCTGCTTCTGCTGCCTCTGCAGGGACAAGGGGACCTCACGGTGGGCCGGTGGGGCCGGGGCCGGTGTGGGGATAGCTGGCCCACCCTGAGGTCCCCTTGTCCCTGCAGGGCGATAGCCACGGACCTGCCGCTTCTTGGCCTTCAGCTCCTTGCTCCCGCCCTCCTCCTCCTCCTCTGCGGCGGCAGCGGCAGCAGCGTCGTGCAGCAGGAACTCGCACAGGCACTGCACGGGCAGCACGTCCAGGGAGCCCTCGCTGGCCTGCACCAGGTCGGCCAGCCAGGGCATGGACTGGGACGAGGCCTGGGGAGCACAGCCACGCTCAGCTCCCACCTCACACCTGCCTCGGCCCCACCCCGGCCCAACGGCCCGCCCCCAGCCCCGAGACACCAGTCCTGCCCTGCGGGTGCCAGGCTGTTACAGCCCATGCATCCAGGGCCCTCTTCTGGCTGTGGCCTCGTTTAACACTGGGGAACTGAAGCCCCTGGGGGGCCTGCCGACCCCTGGCTGCTCCCCTGCAGCGGCGGGACATGCCTGCCTCTGGATGATGTTGAGGAGGAAGTCCGGGTTTCGGCTCCGACACAGCAGGTGCCCGAGGCGCAGGGACTGGTTGAGGCTTTTCACTTGGTCCAGGATGTGAGGGGGCGGCCTTCGGGGAGGTCCTCTGAAAGGCCAGAGAGCAGGGCCATCAGGAGCCACCGCAGAGCCGCCTGCCCCCAGAGGCTCGCCCTGCTCCCAGTGGCCCAGGGCCCCCCACTCCCAACCTGGCTGTTCTCCCTCTCGGCCTCACCAAGGCCTACTCCACAAAGACCGGGAGGGCAGCCTGCCCAGAGGCTGCACCCCGGCCACCCCACCTCCACCGCCACCCCAGGCTCAGTACGAGCCACTGCCATGGACCCTAGCAGCCGAGGGGCTGGGGCTGGGGCTGGGGCTGGGGCACGGCTCATACTGCGGGTCCAGGCTGGTGAGCTGAGACAGGAGGAGGCTGCTGTTCTCGGTGATGGTCTGCTTGGTAGACGCGGCTGCCAGGTGCCCCTCGAACGCCAGGATCTCCTGCTTCTCCCGCTGGGAGATCTGCAGCTCCCGGTTCAGCATCTCCGTGCGGGTCTCCTCGTCCGTCAGGGTGCACGGGGGGTAGGAGTAGTTACTGAGGGAGGACGAGGAGGAGCGGTCACCCTGCCGCGCCTGCACTCCGAGCAGGGGGCGGTGGGGGCCAGGCGGCCCTCACTCCTTCCGCCTCTGATCCATCTCCTCCCCATCGGCCTCACTCTCCAGCCAGCACTGCTCACTCCCACCTATGTCACCCCACCAGCCTGACGCTAGCGCCACCAGGGAGGAGGCCCCTGCAGCCTCGACACCCACCCCCACCTTGCAACCAGGGGGACAGGAGAAAGCCGGAAAACTCAAGTTCACACATTCTAGCCCACAAGAAATGGGAGCCCAGGGGGCAGCTCTGCCGAGACTCCGGTGCAGCCAGGTGCCCGGCCTGCGCTCCTTCTCCTGGTGCCAACCAGGCCACCCCTCGGGCGTCCCCTCTCAGCAGTGGGCTAGCCGACGCACTTGGTCATCACCATCTCCATGAGCATCTTCAGTGTGGGGTACTCCTCCCAGGCGGCCAGGCCTAGGAGGCAAGGAGCCTGTGGGTGGAAGCCAGAACACAGCAAGCCCGCCCGGGCCCCCACCAGACCTGGGGCCCCTCTTCCTGGCTCATGTCCAGGCCCCACTCCAGGCCAGGCAGTGACGATGCCCAGCCGAGGACCCACAAGGGCCAGGACTCACCAATGTTCTCCGGGTTGAAGGCAGCGACAACCAGCAGGAGCGGCCACGCCTTCCAGTAAAGGGTAGAGATGGCCAAGTTGGGGGGCTGGTACCTGCAACACGAGGTTGCCCACGCTCAGCCCAGCTGCACCAAGGTCGGGTGGGAAGGAGTGTCAGCGCGGGGCAGGGTGGCGTCAGCCCGGCTCGGGGCCTGGACGAGTCTACAGCTGCTTCCTCGTCCGTGAAACTGGGCCTGTGCCTCAGTGTGGGCGTGGGGTGTTCTCAAACATGAAGGTGGTGATGGCCACACGGCCTGGGCAGACGCACTGACAACACTGAGTCACAGACTGTGAACGAGGAACCACGCGTGAGCCACCTCAGCGAGGGGCCACGGGAGCAGAGCGGACGGTTGTCGCCGTCCCAGAACAAAAGTGCGTGCCAACAGGCTTGGAAGGGAGCCTGTGCGATGCCGGACGAACAGCCGCGGCACCCGAGGACAGCAGGGGCAGGCGGCGGTCCTGCCAGGCAGGCGGGGGTCCTCGGACAGGCCCAGGGTCGCCTCGAGGGGCAGGCAGCGCTCAAGCCCCGTGGGACTGTGGACAGTGAGCCTGAGGGTAGAAGGAGAGGGCCTGGGGTGGGGGAGTGGGGGGCCGCACAAGTGGGGGCCCGAAGTGCTCACCCAGGGGGCAGCTGGATGTTCTCAGGGTGGTGGTAGGTGCAGAGGTTCAGCACAGCGTCGAGCAGCTGGACCCGCTCCACCTTCAGCACTTCCACGTCTAAAACACAGGCCCAGAGCCCACTCAGTGGGTGCCAGGGCGAGGGACTCAAGCCACGGGATGCCAGAGAGCGAGACAATGGGGCCTGCTCCCCAGAAGCCAGGGAGAAGGGGAGGACTGGCAAGGACCCCGGACAGGAGGTGAAGTGCGACCAGCAGAACCCAGCGTGGGCGGTGGGAGCAGCTGTTGAGCCAGCTGGGGGAGACTGAGGCAAGTCTCCCTTGGTGGCATTCGAGCTGGTCCAGAGAACAGGCAGGACTGCTGGGGACAGCAGCACAGCAGGCACTGTGGGGGGAGGGGAGGCGGGCTGACCTGAGAGTTGCACCCCCAGGGCCGGGACAGAGCCCGAGGGACCCTACCGTCCGCCTGCACAGCCGCTGCTCGCTTCACTAGGTGGTCAGCGAGCTCCATGGCATCAGCAGGCCCAAGCGGGAGCTCGCGGGACAGCCCGATGACAAGGACACGCATTAGCGTGTCCTCCAGGATGGGCACCTCAGAGCACAGACGCAGGAAGAAGCTGCGGGCAGACAAGGAGGTGGGCTCAGCAGGGCAGCCCTGGGCCCACAGGCGACTCCCTGCACCCAGTGCACCACAGCCCAGCACGGGAGGGCCACCCCCCTCCTCCCGGGTGGCTGGTTCCTGATGCCTCTGTGCGCTCAGAGCCAAGGGCAATGAGCCAGTCACAGCCCCGAGGCACCATGCTGGGATGGGCAAGAGGGTGGGATGAGCCAGGAGGGGGGAGGGGGAAGGCAGGACCTGTGTGCAGGGCTACTGGGAAGCAAAGGGAGCGCCAGTGGCCTGGGTGTGGCCAGAGGTGCGGGGTGGGGAGCCCGACTGGCACAGCATGGACCTCTGGGAGTGCCGGCAACACACGCCCAGGTCCGCGCGGAGCAGGGCACTGCGGACTCTGCCTGGAGTGGACCCACCCACCGGGCGCACAGGGCTCACTTGCGGTCACTCTCGGGTGGCCAGTTGTCCCACTTGTAGTAGGTCTCCGGCTGCTCGGTGAAGAGCACCTTGTGCAGGCTGCGGGGACAAGCGGGTCATCGGGGGTGGAGCCTGAGAATGCCCCTCTCCTGGGTCAGCAGCCCCCTGTGACAGCTCCTCCAGGGTCCCCAGCACCCCCCCCCCAAGATCTGCAGGGCTGGCAGGCGACACAGTGGGGTTTCCATGGCCCTGACCCCAGGCAGATGGGACCCCACCGCCATCCCCACCAGTGCACAGGACATCCCCAGTGTCACACAGCACGAAGGACTAGTGCTCTCCACCGACTCCTGTGGCCCCCAAGCGGCTGCTGTCAGCCAGGGGCCACAGCCAAGGCAACAGGCTCATGCTTGGCGAGCCCTGTCACGGGCCACCTGTCAGCCCTGGGAAGTGGCCGCGTCTTTGCCCAGAGCTGCTGCACAGCAGGACATGAGCCCTACCAGTGCACGTAGTCCTTGGGGGCGAGCTTGCTGATGGAGGGCACGACGGTGTGGAGCCACCAGACCGCGTCCCGCTGGATGGCGGCGATCTGGTTTTGGAAGGAGCGCAGCACCTCCAGGTCTGGAAGGGAGGAGGGGGTCACCAGGGGGCCTGGGACGCAGCTCCAGGCCCCAAATGCCTCCTGAGCCACAGCTATAGGCCCGACCTCGGGGATGGTCTGCAGCCACAGGAGCACCCACTGCAGCCCAGCCCGGGCCCCGAGCACAGTCCAGTCCTTACTCTTCTTCTCCCCTTTGTCCCAGGCGACGCCAGCCTCCTTCACCTGGGCCGTGATGCCCAGCATCATGGCCACGGCCAGCACATCCGTGACATGCACCACGAACCGCTCCTGCAAGCACAGCCCAGCATGGTGGGGTTGCACCGGTGACCCTGCCCACACCTCCCACACTCAGGTGTCCCCTGCATACAGGCACCAGCAGCAAAGCTGGGTCAGGCCATGAGGAGGAGGTTCAGCCAGCAGAGCTGGACAAAGCCCCTGCCCCCGAGAAGCCTGTCACCACCCAGGCCGTCGACCAACGTGCCTGGTAGTGTTCACCATCCTCTACAACCTGCCCAGCACCTGCTTTTTAACATCAGCTCCCTCCGCCCTGTCCCTCACTCTAAAGCCTCCCCAGAGCAGACTGCCTGGTCCACACAGCTAGACCTGGTCCCCTGGTCCCTGCTCACTGTCCCCTGGGCCCCCCTAGTCCCAACAGCTACCAGTCTGTCTCCACCTCCTCACCTAGCCCAGAGGCTGCTGACTCCCCTGGGGGCACCCAACCAGCCCCTCCCTGGTCCCCTCCCAGGATGGAGCCCACACCGGCTGCTGCATATGCAGCTGCCAACCACTGAGCCCAGTGCATCACAAACAGCACGAGAGGGGCAGTGAGCGTCAGCAGAGGGGAAGCTCCGGCACATCCGCCATGAGCCGAGGGCAGCAGAGGCACACCTTGAACTCCATGTCCAGATACTGGGGCTCCTTGCGCTCCTGCATGAGCCCAAGGCAGAAGGCCTGGAAGTTGATCTCGTGCTTGGTCTGCTTGATGATCTCACGCAGCAGAGCCCGCGAGGCCCGCAGGTAGTCGTCCTTGTTGGTAAGCAGGTCCTGGAACACCATGGCCAGGAACTGGGGCAGAGAGAGGCCACACACACACTCACCTGTGGCTCCTGCTGGCCTCACGCCCAGCAGCGGGGCCTCCGGCGGCCCCTCGAGGCTTCCAGAGCCGTGCCGGGATGCCTGCCTGCTTCCCTCCAGCTCAGCCAGGCATGTCAGCACGCGAGCACAGACCCAGCCTACCCTCCGCTGGGGTGGTGGCAGGCACAAGCTGAGAGCAGCACCACCTCTTGTGTCCCTCTTGGCAGCTGGCCTGTGGGGGCTGGTCCTCGTTAAACGAGAGACAGGCGAATCAGCAGCAGTCAGCTGCAGGGCGCCCTGGTCACAGGGACGAGCACCCTGGCTGGGCCCGCCACACCCCCAGCCCCCAAGTGGACAACTGGTCCCCACCTCTCCTGACACGCTGGGGTGCAGGAGGATAGAGAACAACCCTGAGGACTGGCCCTGCGTCGGCCCCGACAGCCAACACACAGCTGAGCCATCCAGAAGCCTGGCTCATGTCCGTCACGGGAGTGCTACCCTCTGGTCCCTTCAAAAGGTGGCTGAGCACGGCAGACTCACCGCCAGGCCTGAGGCCCGTGTGGGGCTGCAGGGACAACTGCAGAAGCCCTTGGGCCCTCCGCTGTCCAGAGCGCAAGACATAGCCCTGCCTCCCGAGCATCCTCCCATGCAGCCCAGCCTCACCCCACAGGCCTCTTCTAGGCACCCAGTGTCACAGAAAAGGCCACACGCCCCTCTGCAGCCCCAGGCCCTGCAAGGTCCCCGGCACAGCCGCACTGGGGTCCTGGTGCACGCCGGCTGCCCGGCGCCGACCCCTACCCTGGGCGCCAGCTCAGAGCTGTGCTGCAACACTGTGTAGAGGATCTGCATGTTGTTGGGGTTCCGGGCGTTGGACAGTTCGTTGAAGATCACAAACTTAATGGTGGTGCCCAGGTTGTCCTTGTGTGCGTTCAGCAGCTCCCTAGACACGAGCCAAGCAAAGGGGTGCTGACATGGGCCGGGCCACCCCTGGAACACGCTCCCGCCGCAGCCCCCACTGGGCCGCACCTGATGCACAGCATGTAGTGGTTGAGGAGAACTTTGGGCTTGAGACGGATCTTGACCAGGTGGGAGATGACATCCACGTCCTCAGCGCTGTGGGTGCCGCAGTTCACGCACACAGACATAAGTAAGTCCTGCGCCGGCCGTGTCAGCTGCGGGGAAGCACCGTCAGCCTCGCCCTGCCACCTCGGCGACAGGTGGGCCCCGCAGACCCTACGCTGCCCTCACCTTGGGGTTCTGCAGCCACATCTCCAGCCGCTGCACGGCCATGAGCCGCACCTCCTTGTACCCACAGGTGGAGGCGAGCAGCCGCAGCAGGTTCCGAGAGACATTGTCGATGGGCTGGCGTCGGGTGAGCTGGTCCCGCAGCACATCCAGGACATACTCCTCCACGCTCTCCGTGAGGTCTTCGTACCTAGGCCAGAGGGGGGAGGAGGCAGGAGGAGGGAGGGAGGCTGTCCTCACGAGCCCAGCCCTGCCACCACCCACCCACGGGGGTCGTGTTGGCAGGGGCCGGGCCGCAGGCCTACCTGGGCATGACCTGCCCCTCCTGCTCAGGGCTCAGCTTCTCCTCGGCGATCAGGAGCTCCGTCTGGCAGTCCTCCTCCTCGGTGAGCGAGGGATGTGGGCTGCTCCCTGCCGATCAGGGGTCTCATGGACACACACACCCGCCCACTCTGCAAGCACCCGCCCCCCTAAAGCCAGGCTCCCTGGAGGGAGGGGGCGTGAGCCCTCCCCTTCCACTGAAAGCCCCAGTTCCCAGCCCCGCCTGGGAGCTCAGCTTCTCTCACCTGCACTGAGGTCCCCTCCACTGCGCCCCACTTCCCCCTGCAGCAGCATGCTCGTGGGGGGCGTCCTGGTGTTGAAGGCCGTCTGGATGTTGTCCACAAACGCCTTGCAGTGCGGGCTGTCCACCCAGACCCGCTCCCCCAGGGAGTCTTCAATATACACCTGCCCAGGATAGAGGCTGGCGTCCAGGCCCCGCAGGTGGCTCACTGCTCCCTGCCCTCGGCTGCTCCGGGGCTGGGCCGTGGGAGGGGGGGAACAAGCACTTCCCTGAATGCTGCCAGCTACCCGGACGGGACTCCCGAGAAGACCTCCTAGCAGCCTGCGCAGAGGACAGGACGCCCTGGGCCACCAGACAGCCGCCCTGACGGAATTCGCTGTTTGCTCCATTTTCCTCCCGGGATCCAGCTATCCCCCCTGCTCCCATGGCCCTCTGCCCACTTCACCGCAAAGGAGCACATTCACCAAGCTTCCTGGGGAGGTGGCTCACCTTGACAAAGATCTCAGGCCAGTTCTCGTCCTCCTCATATGCAGCCATGAGGAGGTTGCAGGCCAACACAGACACCAGGCTGTTCCCCTTGGCCTTGAAGTTAATGGAGGCATCCCGACGTAGAAGGCTGCAGAGAGCCTGCAAGAGACAGTGCCTATTGCCAAGGGAAGCCTTGCACTGCACATGCAGCAGAGACAGCATGCCTGGCAGGCAGATGGGCCTAGGAGGGAGTAGCACCACAGGGCCAAGGGCCCATCTTGCTCTGGGCCCCCCCGCCTCACCTCAATGACACCTTCTGTGGCAAAGATGTTGGGCTTGATCTTGGCCAGGTACATGAGGCTCAGGCACAGGGTGCTGTCGGGCTTGGCCCGTGTGGCCTTCAGCTGCTTCACGGCCCCGCAGAGCACGCCCTCCACCCTGTCGTCGTTGCCCTCCAGCTCCGCCGCCTCCACCTCATCCAGCAGCGCCTGGGGCGGGACTGTGGGGGGCGGGCGTCAGAGCAGGTGGCCACAGAGGCTGCCCCTCCAGTCCCCCCAAAGCCACCAGGCACAGTGCACCCACCTGAGACCCAGCAAGTGAGAGTCTCAGGCTGTAAGCTGTCAGAAACTGACTTTACCTTCAATTGGGACCACAGATGGCTCTTTAATTGAGGGAGAGATAGCACGTTTTTCTGCTACTGCAGCCTCGGCCAGACGCCCCAGGGCACTCAGAGGGGGCGTGGAGGATAGTTTGGGGCGTTTGGTGAGGCCTGGCAGGGCTGTGGCTCCAGCCAGGGCAGCAGCTGCAGCATCCCTCTTGCGCTCGGAAGGCAAGCCAGAAGGTGCAGGCTTCAGCAGGGTAGACCCCGATTTCGAGTCACTGGCCTGACCCTTGGAGCCCAGAGCAATGAAGTCCCCAGGCGGAGGGTGCCCTGCACAGCGAGGGAGGTGGAGAAAGGTGCAACAGTCACACAGCGCAGAGGTGGGAAAACATGGGCACAGAACCCCAACCTCCCACTACCTCCAGGGGACCTAAGAAGGATCAGGGTGACCAGAAACGAGCCACCCAGAGATCCCCAGCTGATAGCCGCAGTGCTGTCATCCAGGCCGACCCTATCGTACACGCATGTGAGGTGAAGGCTACCAGACTCGGGCGGCTCAGCACCGCACCCACTGTCGCACAGGGGCTCCGGCGGGCCTCCTTTCGCTACCGTCTGCGCGTCTGCGGCCTCGGATGCCGACGGGGACGGGACAGCAGCCTTCCCGAGGCCGTCACGGCTGTCCCAACTCCCCCACTGAAGCCCTCGACCCCGACCCTGGAAGCCGCCGCCCGCGCAGGCAGCAGCCGCGCACCTGAGGTCTTGGCCGCGGCGCTGGGCCTGCGCACGGCCGGGGGCTTGGTGCGGTTCATGGCGTCCCCTGCCCCTCGCCGCTCCTCGCTGCAGGGCTGTCACTAAGAGACTGGTGCCAGGTAGTTGTTCACCCGCTCGCTCATTCATTCGTTCTTCAGCCGCTCGGGGCGTCGGACCTGGGGCAGTGGAGCCCTGCCGGGAGGAGCGATTCCGAAAGGGCCGCGCGAGCCCCACCTCGGAACCGCCGGGAGGGTCGATGTCACCGACAGCCGCGGTACCCAAACAAGCAGCCCACGACACCCAGCGCTCGTCGCCGCCACGGCCACCCCGGAACCAGAAGCCAATCTGAGCGGCCCGACTGCCAGAAAAACCGGAAGCAAAATCTTGCAGCGGCATAGAACGGGTAGGCGAGAGGGGCCGTGGCGCCTGCTCGGTGCCTGCATCGTCCTCTGGCGGCGGGAGGCCGGCGGTGTCCTGCAGTCGCGGATCTCTCCCGAGAGATGGGAGCTGTCACTTTCTTTTTGCGCAGCTGAGGCTGATGATAGTAGTGACCTGACCAAGCACACACGGCTGAAAAGGGTGGCGCGGGTTCTAAACAACACGTGCTGGACCTTCAGAGAAGTGCTCTCTCATTTACGGGCCAAAAGGCGGGCTCTGGAGTCCCCACCGGGGGAGGTAGAAGGGAGTCTTAGGGACACAGCGCAGAACAAAAGGGACTTGCCACCTGCCTCCAGCTCCTTCCTGCGGGCGTGGAGGGCAGCCCCACGCCAGAGCCCCGCGGTCCTGGCGTGCACAGTCTGACTCCTCTGCAGCGGAGGACGGGGCTCCGTGCTCACGCAGACCCTCAGAAGGGCTTGGGAATCTCACACAATCCCAGAGCCTCAGAAGTCCCGGACCTCTGGCTGTAGCCCCCTCCCCACCAGGAACAAGGAGCTGGGAGCAATTGGGGGAGAAGCCTAGAGAGAGCGTCTCCAGGAGCTGACGGGAGGGACAGGGGAGTGATGCAGGTGAAGACCCGGTAGGTACTTCGGAGGGCAACGAGCTGCGGAACACACTGTTCGGGAACCACTAGAAGGTGGGGCTCAGGTGAGCACCTACAGGGGGCGGTTGTGAAAGCGCAGTGCTGGCCGGCTGGAGTCGAGGCTGGGAGTCCAGCGCCTGGACTGGTCAGCGCAGCCAAGGGTCGTCCAGAAGCCGCTGCAAATGGCCAAAGCGACCCAGCAGTTAAGGGAGGAAGCCATTCATGGACCCGCACCTAGGAAGTGTCCCATTCATCTAAAAGTGGACAAAGTCTTGCCCTGGCTCAGTGGATTGAGCACCGGCCTGTGAACCAAAGAGTCGCAGGTTCCATTCCTAGTCAGGACACATGCCTGGGTTGCCAGCAAAGTCAGGCCCCCAGAAGGGGGCGCTTGACAGGCAACCACACATTGATGTTTCTCTCCCTCTTTCTCCTTCCTTCCCTACTCTCTAAAAATATTTAAAAAATAAAAGTGGACAAAGTCTGGAGAGCAATACACCCCAGCAGATCCGGGTGGTACAGCCCTCTACTTAGGGTTTCAGTATTGACAATTATGGGAATCATTTCCAGTTGACAACGGACAGTGCCCTCAGCGGGTGGGCTGCCACCAGACCCAGCCTCCTCTGCCCGGGACAGGTTGGAGGTCAGGGTCAGGGTCAGGCAGAGCCCAAGGCCCAGGCTGGCTCTGGTCCCTTCCCCAGGAGTCCCAACCCTCCCTTCCCTTCTCTCTCACTCCATAACCTCCTTCCTCCTCATCCTTCAAAGCCCAGCCTCCCTGCCTCCAGGCTTTGTCCTGTCCCTGGCAGGAGGCGCCTGCATCACGGACATTCCCGAGCTTGAGGGAAGTGCCTCCTGGACACCGTCTGGCAGGGCAAAGCCCAGACAAGCCCAAGATGCTGGGCTGGGGCACAGGGGTCTGAAGCCGTGGGGTCAGGTGGATTCTGGGACAGCTCAACCTGGAGCTCAAACCTGCTTTGGGGGGCTGTCCTCCATGAGGCTGTCTGTCACCTGGGAGTCACCTCTGGCCCAGGAAGGAGAAGAGGCAGCAAGGGGCCTCCCCACTGCAGTTCTGGGGACCAGGGCCCCCACTGCAGATGCCAACACAGGTGCTCTCACTCCTGAAACATACGCCACAGACCAGGCAGCCTGAACAGCAGCCATTTATTCGGTCAAGGACCTGCAGGTATGAGGTGGGGGTTGCAGGGCTTCTCCCTCGGGGACTGCAGGTGACCCTGGCTGCATCCTCCATTTGAGTCCGTCCACAGGGCCATCCGCCCTCTGTGTGTCTCTGCGTCTTCTCTTGTGTCTCTCATGAGGACACTGGCACTGGATTTAGACACACCCCAGGCCAGGGTGGCCTCATCTCAAGATCCCCAACCGGTTTCCATCCACAAAGAACCCGTTTCTAAGTGAGACCCTTCTGCAGCCCACTGGGCACTGCAGCCCTGCATGGGCCCAGGCCGGCCTGACTTTTCCAGCCATGTGGCCTCCGGCTGTCCCGCCACTGTTCCTGGAACATGCTTCAGGGCCTCCACTCAGACCCTCTGGCCTCTGCGGCCTCTTCCCCCACCTGGTCTTAGCTCAGTGTGCCCCTCTTCCCTCGCCCCTAAAACCACAGCCCCAGCCCCCCCGGGGCCTGGCCAGCACCTTAACACCTTCCTAATTTAAAAAATGGTCATTCCTGGATCCTGGTACCCACTGTCTCTCTCTGTGTGGCCTGCCTCACCCCAAACGTAAGCCGCTGTGAGCCGCGGCCAGCGCCTGGTGTGCCATGGCAGGAAATGGGGGCGGACATGGGAAGAATCCGCTCTTAGAAGCCATAACTGTTAGGAGCTGGGTTTGGCCTGGAGGGAGGTGTCAGGTGGGACCAGCCCAGGTCTCTGACCCCTACAGTCCCTGGAACCCCAACTGGCTGGGTTGTGGCCTCTGGACTTCAGGATGGGCATGCCCTCCCCTGGGCCCCACTGTGACACTGGTGGGGGGAGGAGGAGTCCCCTCTGGAGGGCCTGGGAGCAACCAGCCCAGTGGGGAGGGGACCCAGGAAGCAGGGCCCTGCCCCAGCCCGGAGGGAGGGGAGGGGAGGGGAGAGAGTGTGAGGCGGCAGGTGTGTAGCTGCTGTGGTCCAACTGCCTCTGGGCCAGGAAGCAGCTGCTCCCCACCCCTGCCCCCACCCCATGGGGCCTGGGTCTCCGAGCTGGGCTGGGATCTGGGCAGAGTCTCCCTGCTCTGGTCACCTGTTCTCACCCGGCCTGGTGCCTCACAGCCCTTGGGGTGGGGGTGGGGGCAGCGGAGGTGCCCCAGGAGGGAGAGTCCACAGGGTGCCTGGGGGCCTGGTCGTCCCCCAACTACCATGCCCCCTAAACTTAGAAACTGCCTCATCTAGCGAGAAGCCCCATCAGCCCAGTGATGGTCTCAATGCCCACCAGGAGCTGGTTCTGTGGGTGGCGGCCTCATCAGTGAGGCGCACAGCACGGGGGCAGGACCCTGCCGGAAAGCTGGTGCCTGTCTTTAAGGGTCCGATGTCTGAGCCCCTGCTGGGCAGAGCCTGGCAGGCGGAGACCCTCAAAGGGGACACTGCAGTGTGGCAGCCTCTGGCCAGGCGGGGAAGTGCTTTCCAATTTTTGTCTGAAAATAGACCAGCCTGCTCACCAGGAAGTGAGTCCTCTGTCACGGGAGGGGCAGGGTCTGAGGTCTGTGACCTGGAGCCCTCGGGTCTTGCGCGGGCTGGCATCCCAGAAGTCTGGGCACAGGGCGGGGAGAAGGCTGGGCTGGGGCCGGCACCTGTCTGGGCCAGCGGCCCCGGCCGGCACTCCAGGCTTGGACATGGACTTCCTCCCAGGCCTGGGAGTGCTGGGGTGGGAGGTATTCTGGTCCTATGGCCCCTCAGCCGGTTCACCCTCGCCCCTGCCTCAGCTTCCCTTTCTGTTCTGTAAGGGTCAGGCTGACACTCTGAGGTCACAGGGTTCGGCAGCCCCCAGGCCCCAGAGCCCAGACTGGCTGGGCTGGATGCAGTTTCCACACCTTTGACAGAAAGCTGGAGCCAGCCATGAAGGGCAGGGCATGGGGAAGCTGGGAGCCCTGGGAACGGGGGCTCGGCCTCCTCTGTGGGACCCTGGGGTTCTGGGGAACACAGTTTGAGAACCAGGGCAAGGCGAGCATGGGTGTGGGGACCCCATACCAGACAGCACACTCCCAGACAGCACGCGACCCAGATTCCAGGGTCCCCCAAGTGCTGGAGGCTGAGGAAGGGAACCTTTCTTTCAGTGATGAGGGGAGCCCCCCAGGGCACCTTGTGACCAGACATCTCTGGTAGAGCAAGGAAGGCAGAGGTCAAGGACAGAGCTTGGTGGGCCTGAGGTCACAGCCAACATCAGGTGGGACTGGAAGGGGGCAGGGTGAGAGGGTGTCTTCCCTTCTAGGGGCAAAAGGTAGGGATCCCTTCTCCTGCTGGTGCCCCTCCTCCCCATTCCTCTGGCTGCGGGGCTGGGAATCGAACCTGTGAATCACCTGTTCGATTCCCAGTCGGGGCACATGCCTGGGTTGTGGGCTAGGTCCCCAGTAGGGGGCAATCGAGAGACAACCAGACATTAATGTTTCTCTCTCCTTCTCCCTCCTTTACTCTCCCTAAAAAGAAATAAATAAAAATCTTTAAAAAAAAAAGAGGAAAGGACGTCTCTGGTCTTTGTCTGGTTCCCAGCAGAGAGGTCCCAAAACTCCTGGACTTTCTCCCCTTTCTCCCAGACCTGGTCAGGTTGGCCGGGTGAGGCGAGCACCTGTAGCATGTCTTTGCCGTTACCTGGGTCTCTGGCTCCTCCCTGGATCCAGGCTGTCCCTCGAATGTCAGGCCGAGGCAGTGGCCACACCTCTGCAGTGGACAGAGGGCCGCAGGGACCTTGCAGGGGGGGGGTCACCCTGCAGAAAGGATGGGACTGTTGCCCTGGGAACGAGGAAGGGAGGGGGAACAGCATTTTCTTCAGCAATTCTGACCCAGTTCCTCTCAAATTGTGAATTGAAATCAACTTCCTTACTTTAAGTAAATGGATATGGCAATAGTGACAGCCAGAGGGACTGTGGTTTCATTTGAGAGCGCACTGCACTTCACAAAGTGCTCCCCCATGAGCCACGAGTACAGGCGCAGCTTTCCCAGCGCCAGGGGGGGCCGGGATGGGCACCCCACGCTGGTAAGGGTCAGCCTGTGCAGGCAGAGGTTTGCTGGTCACGGAGCAAACCGCTCAGACTCAGACGCGCTGTGATCTCCTCCCTCCTTGCGCAAGGAGCATGTCTCGCCCCAGAACCGCACCTGCCTGCACACACAGCGTGGTCCGCGGGGAACTCAGGGGCCCGCCGCAGCTGCGTCCCTTCTCTCAACTGCGCAGCACTTCACACCGCGATGTCCCACAGGGTATCCAGCTGGGCCCTTAACAGCGATGACGTGGCGGTTTCCAGCCTTTTATCACAGCCGACACCTCAGGGATAAGCCTCAGGCACCCCCATCTCACTGGTGGGCAGGTGTTTCTGACTCGGATTTCCAGAAGTAGGGTTGCTGGGTCTGAGGGAGTTGGGAAGAATCTGCCCCGTCCCGCCGCCCGCCCGCAGCCACAGCCTGCAGGATCCTTCCCCAGCCCAGCGGTCACAGGATGTGGTCCCATTTGGGGATTCTGATAAAACAGGGAAGGAACTGCAATGTCATTTTCATGTGCATTTCTCTTATTATGGCCATCTGTCCCCACCGTGTTTGCCGTGTGGCGTTCCCTCTCCGTGAATCATCTATTCATAGCATAGCTTCGCTCCTTTTATTTGTCTTTTCCTTTTCTATTTCTAGGAGCCCTCGGCGTAGGAGGGAGAGAGCCCCCTGGGACGTGGGCTGTCCCTGAGATATGTTCTGTGTTCTCACTTGGCTTGTGGCACTTTTTGCTGGAGTCTTTTTTTTAATGGTGTCTGGATTTTTAATTATGATTAGAAAAACCTTTTCCCACTCCAAGGTTTAAAGGAAGTCATTCATGCTTTCTTCCAATATTCTAATGTTTTTTTAATGTACTTTTCGGGTTAACATTCTACACAACAGGAAATTAACCATTTTAACCATTTTTAAGTATAGAGTTCAGTGCCGTAACTGCATTCCCATTTCGGGGCGGCCCTCACTGCAGTCCATTTCCAGAGCTTTTTGTCACGTAGTAGTTTCTTTTTAAGCACATGAACTCTTTGCCCTGGTCATACAATTCAGTGGGTTAGAGCATCACCCCACACACCAAAGTTGTGGGTCCCTCCCATCAGGGCCCCGAGGGGAATCAACCAGTGAGTGGAACAACAGATAGATCTCTCTCTCTCTAAAATCAATACACAAACAATTTTAAAAGGTTTTATTCATTTATTTTTAGAGGGGAAGGGAAGGAAAGAGGGAGAGAAATACCAATGTATGGTTGCCTCTCATGTGTCCCCCACTGGGAACTGGCCTGCAACCCAGGCATGTGCCCTGACTGAGAATCAAACTGCGATCGTCTGCTTTGCAGGCCCGTGCTCAATCCACTGAGCTACACCAGCCAGGGCCAATACACAAACGATTTAAAGGAAGAACATTTACACCCCTGACCTAGTCGGAATGTCTGATACTGGTGTATAGCATGGATGAAATGTGGACCCAACTTCACTTTTCCAAGTGGTTATCATTTAGCCCTCTTTTCATTTACTAAAGGCTCCATCTTTGTTCAGTTTTATCAAGCTCATTTTAAAGTTGAGGAAACCAAATGAAGAGCCCACCTCCCGCCGCGCCCCCCACCCCCAGCACGGTCACCATCTCCCACTTCCCCCTGCTTCTGACCTCTTGGGGCCCTGCTGTCAGGGACAAAGGAGAACCCTTAGACCTCACCCTTCGCCACGAAACTCAGCGTGAACAGACTGCAGTCAAGTCAGGAAACCGAGGGCTCTGGGGAGACCGGACTGTACTCATTGCTGGGGGGTGCGCAGGGAGGGGCCGAGAAGTGGGTGGTGGGAGGAAGGGGACCACTGACTTCCAGTCCCAGGGGAGACCACAGCCTGAAGCGGGCAGCACCCCCAGGGCCGGGTGAGCCCGCAGGCCATGTGGTGTGCCAGGTGAGCCAGTGAGCGCCCGAGGGGCTCTGGGAAAGCAGCTGGGCTCTCCGCTGCAAGAAGCTCCGGCTGCTCCCTAAGGGCCAGGACGTGCTGTGGGGTTAACTGCACAAAGAAGGCCCACAAACTTCTTGGCACTGCCCCCTATCTGTTTTCCGGGATTCACCCAAATGCACCAGAGACCTGGCCCTGTGTCTGTGGGAAGCCCACCTCCCCCACCGCCAGCCTTGGCGGTCTGCGCCTCCTTCTTTCACGACTCACACAGGCAGAAACCCTCAAAGGGCGCCACCTGCGCCCCGTGCTGAGCAGGTCGGGCGGTGCCACTTCGGATGGGCTACCTTGCCAGCTTTGTCCTCAGACAAGGGGAGCCTGCCCCACTCCCCAGGGTCCGCTGTCGCGGTGGTTTTCCGGTGACCACCACCAGCGGGGGCTCAAGACCTCGGAGGCATGAACCCTTGCATCAAAGCCATTTACCACCACGTCACATGGTTGGCACTCCTACAGAAGACAATCCTTCTCTTTACCCATTTCTTGGTCAAAAATGGGACATCAGGAGACCGATGGGGTGTCCCTCAGGAGGCGCCGCCAGGAGCTCTTTCCTCGTTTGCAGGGGCACCAAGCAGCAAGGCAGGGAGGCCTGTGTGCCCCCGCAAACGTCCCACCCATGTCTTGTTGTGAAAACCTCGGGACCCTGAGACCTGGCTGTAATGTCTGCAGCATTGTCCTGAGGCCAGTCCTGGGGACGGCGGGATGAGACTGGGGACCTGTGGTGAGGCCCGCCCGGGTATTACGGATACTCTCGGGACGCCCCATCTGCAGCACAGGTGCATTCTGTCCGCCCTGTGCAGGCGGGCGGTGGAGGAATGGTGGGCCGGCCGAGAGGCTCCCACGGCCGCGAATCTGAGGGCTCCGCAGGGCAAACACGGTGGGCTCCACGCGCGCCCGTCCAGAGGCAGACGGCGGGGGGGGGACCCAGAGCCGGACTCAGACTACAACAGTGGAGGACTGGCTGGGCCTGGGGTGGGCGGGGCGTCACCGGGGGCGGGTCTGGTGGGCGGGTCGATGACGCGAAGGTGGGCGTGGCGGCGTGACGCGCGCGACGCCGATCCCGGAAGCGGTGTCAGATGCTGGGAGCCGGGCGGGCGGCGCGCTGGCTGCGGGCGGCGGGGAGGACTTGTTGTTCTTTGCGAAGTCGGAGCTCGAGCGCGCGGCGGAGGCGGCGGCCCAGCGGGAGCGCGAGAGTGAACGCGAGCCGGAGGAGAGCGCGTGCCCGCGAGTAGCCGCCGCGCGCCCGCGGCCCCCGCGCGACGCCAGGTGCGGGACGGTCGGGCGGGGCCCGGCCGGCCGGGGATGCGGTGGGGGGGTGGCCCGCCGCTGAGTCTGGGGGGCGAGGGACTCTTGGCGAAGTTGGGCGGGACCCCGAGCCCCACGCCGAGTCCGCGCACCTGCCATCAGGTGTGCTGCCGGAGAGCGTCGCGCGGGCGGGGCGCCTTCTCGGGCGCGTAGACCGGGTAGCTTTCCTTTTCAAGGCTGGGGAGCGCGCCCCTCCTCTCCGCCCCTTGTTGGGCAGCCAGGGGAGGGCGGGGCGGTAGTGCCCGCTTGTCTCCACTCCCCATCCCTCCCCACCTGTCCGCATTTAGCCTCCGGCGACGGACTAGGAGGCGGGAAGGCGGGGGCGAAAATAATCCACCACGTGCGGGAGCGCGTGGTGGCGCAGAGCTACTCGCGCGCCTCCGCGGGTCCGCGTGCGGTCCTCCAGCCCTGTGACCCCTTCCTACCGTGCCCGCAGCGGGGTCTACACCGATCGGGGTGGGGAAGGAAGGAGCTGGGGACTTGGGGATCGAGGTCACGTTCTGAACCGCGAGCCTGCCAGGGCTTCCCCAGATGGAGGCCTTGGTGGGGCAGCTTTGGGTGGGGAGGAGGACTGGGCACGAGTGTCACTTCCCCCAAGCCCCTTGGCTCGGCTCGTTTTCCTCATCTGTGAGTGAGGTTTCTTCTAAATTTAAATGCGGGTTCTTCTGAGATTGTGCGGAGTTTAGGACACAGGGGCTGTGTCGGTTTATGCGTTTACACACCTCAGGAGCCTCGGAGGGGACGGACGGGATGGGCCGGGAAGTGTTTGACTCCTAGAAGCAAATGCCTTGCCCTCCCTCTGGTAGGCTTCTCCCGCACCTGTGGCGACTTCACCATCCGACAACTGCCCTGAGCAGGGCGGTTCAGCTGGGGGTTGCTGGGAGTTGCAGGCTCTCCCCTGTGTTAATGATTACGCCCCTGTTTACCTTTCACACGGCTCTTCTGGCCAAGCACAAATGGGATCTTTTGCCTAACAGTTCATTCAGCAACTGGCCCTTACGCAGCCGCCTTCTCTGCCCAGGCACACGCCCAGCACAACAGGGTGGTGGAATCAGTGGGTTTCCCACGCTTGTGTTTTGGCTGCCGGCCGGCTGCCCAGACTTCGACTGGCATTGATGAGGCTGAGCGGTCAGCAATCCCGGCTCAGGTGTTCTGACAGAGTGCAGCTGTGCAGGGGATGTCGCTTCTGGAGCTCCTGCTCCACGTCTGGGTTGCTCAGGGGCCGGAGCTCTGAGAAAGTTACTCTAGCCCGTGGGAGGGGTCTGGGAAGTGGGTGATGGGTAGGACACACTTGCCACCTGTTGCACTGTGGGTAGCTGAGGAGCTTTACACACTTCCCTGCCCAGGTAACCCAGCAGGAACGTTTGAGTTGGAGTCTCGTAGAGGGGATCTGCTTTTGTAACTGAAAGCTAGACTCTCGTTTAAAATAAAATGTTCAATAACTGAAGGACCAAGCACAGCTTCTCGCAGGAGCGTTTGCTTTGTGCTCCAGCATAGCTGGACTTCAAGGGGCTGCTTCCACACCCAGCGCTGCCCACTTTCCAGGTGGCTGCCGAGATGAGAGTGGAATCGAGGCCGTGGGGAGTGGGCTCTTGCCGAGATCGGGGCTTGCACCTCCTACCTAGAGGCTCCGGTGCTGTCCTTTGTCCGCAGCTGTGCCTGCTACGCCAAGGCTCCTGAAGCAGCCACGGGTGGGTTTGTTTACAGCCTCTCTCCTGCGGCCTGGCTGTTCCTGAGTCTAAAGGTTTCTGGAGTGGACTTTCTGGATTTCGGTCCGGTCCACACGGGAAGTGCAGCCCCGGCCAGCTGGGCCGCTCCTCATGGCAGTAAACAGTGACTCACCCTCCCTGCACTACCCCCCCCACTCCCCCCTAGTGGAAGGTGTGCGGCTCCCTCTGATATTTACTTTTGCTTTTCATAATCACACACTGGTCATGCTTCCTCTTTCCTACAGTTTCAGGAAGTTGAAAGTGTCATCTTAAAACCGTAGAGTTTTAGGGCAGGTAGGGATGAACCTCGGATTGCACGGTGCACACACGATCACGCACAGCCACTCACACACTGGCACACACTCGCACAACAGCCACTCTCACACCCACAGTCATTCACACACACACCCCTTTAGAGGAGGGAGCCCAGCCTGGGTTGCCTGTCCTGGCCGGTGGTGGCAGGGTTGGGGCAGCCCCAGCTGCCCACGGGCTCTTCTGCGCCGCCTGTGTGGGTGCCCAGGCCCGTGGGAGGGGAGAGCCACCTCACACCTGCTCCCTTCAGGGCAGGGCAGACACATGCCCTTAGGCAGCAAACCTTTTCCCCTGCCCAGGGTTGGGGGGCAGATGTGGGTGTGAGTGTCCCCCTTGCCCCCTAGGTGGGGAGACAGGCCTTGGATAGGAGGACCATGACCAGCCCTTGGTCTGGGCCCTGTGTGCTCAGGGGGTGCTTCCTGGTGAGGCCCAAGTTGGGGGAGGGCAGGCAGGGGGTGATGGGGGAGAAGGTTGGGAGCCAGTGCAGATTTGGGGGTGCTCTAAGAAACCAGAGGGGAAGGCCTGGAATGCAGCAGGTGGCCAGGGCGGGGAGGGCTTTGGAAGGATGCTGAGCAGGGGTGGGTGCCCCTTTGCCTCCCTGTGGGGGCGGCACTTGGGGGCCTGGGTCAGAGTCTGGGCCGGGCCTAGGGGGGACACTGGGGTGGGGAGTGGACGTGTGAGAAGAGGAGAGGCCTTGGGGGCCATTTCTGGGGCTTTCCCCTGAGCTGGAGACACAGGAAAAGGGCAGGGGCGCAGGCATCCAGGCGGGCCTGGGGAAGCCCTGGCCTGCCTGGGGTGGGCTGGGAAGAGGATGGAATCTCCCCCCAGGGGAGCCTGGAGGCCTACCCAGAGGTGCCAGGGGAATGGGCCTGGCTGAAGCTGGGCGGTGGGATCCAGGGTCCAGGGCACGGCCGGCTGGGGGTGCGGCTCTTAGCCTGCCGTCAGCCACCACTGGCTGAGTCACCTCTGCTGGACGGAGCCAGGATGACACAGCTCCCTCGAACGGCACAGGCAAGGTGACCAGACGTCCTCCAAGCCCGGCAGACAGTCACGTCTTGCCGGAGGGCACCCAGCCAGGGCCAGCCTGCGAGCTGGGTGTGGGCTGGGCTGGTGGGGGGCCCAGCAAGACTCTGTAGGGCGCACCCCAGGGTGAGGGGAGCTGGCTGTGTCCAGAGTGGGCGGGCTGCTGGGGAGCCCTCCCGGCTCTGGCAGCCAACTGCGGCCGGGCGCCCTGTGCTCGCTGTGTGGGCCCCGCCACACTTGTGGTGCAGCAGCCGCTGGGAGGGGCGTTCGGTGTTGGGTCGCTCGCAGACAGGCCCCTGGTCCCCCTCAGGCAGAGGTGGCCACATCAGGGTGGTCGGGGTGGGTCAGCTGCTGCTTCCTTCCCTCCCTGCCACCCCTGCCCCTTGTCCAGGACTGTGTCCTGAGACCTGGGAGGACCTTAGGATGAGACGCTGGTCTTGATCAGGTGGGCTGGGGGGCTGGCCCCGCCTTGGCGGTCAGAGGCAACTGCCTTCTCCGCATGTGCAGGACGGGAGCAGCGTCCTTGAGCACCACCCCCAAGCTGAGCGCCGGGCTCAGCTTCCTGTCCCCTGATGCTCACTCTAGGCTGGGTGGCTGGCTGTGTCATCTGGGTAAGAATTAGGGTCTTTGAGCCCTGGCTGGTGTGGCTCAGTGGATTGGGCATCACCCTACGAACCTAAAGGTCATGGGTTCAATTCCCCATCAGGGCATTTGTCTGGGTTGCGCTTTGGTCCCCAGTCAGGGCACACACAAGACGAGGGCTTATCCATGATGAGGTTTCTCTCCCTCTCTTTCTCCCTCCCTTTCCCTCTTTTTAAAAATAAGTAAAACCTAAAACAGAGACTTTGAACGTCTAAAACTCCCTCTTCTAGGTTATCTAGACCCAGGGCTGTTCGGGTGGGGTCTCTGCCCCTAGCTGGCTTTATTGACGGGCTCTGAAGCCGGGTCCAGCCCAGCACCAGCCAGCAGGCTGGAAGGCCAGGGCTGTGAGCTGCCCCGGCAAAGCCAAGTCGAAGCTGCGGGCGAGCAGTCGGCATTTGCTGGGAGTGGAGGGTCTGAGAGCCTGGCCTCCAGCTCACCTGCCTCCGGGAAGGGCAGCCCTGGGCCGTGGAAGCTGGGCTTCCTGCCCTCCAGAACTCCCTGGAACAGAATTCCGGGCCATTCTCAAGCAGGGCAGCCCTGCCCTGGTCTTACAGGGCTGGAAGGGGAGGGATGCCGGACCCCAGTGCACCCCAAACTGCCGTGGTAGGGTGGCTGCCCCTCAGCCAGCGGGACTGCCCTCGGTAGAGGAAGCGAGCTCTCCTGTTCGCTGCACTTGGACGCACGGCCTAGGAGCGGTTCTGGCTGCGGGTTGGAAAGCAGCATCTGCCGTTAGGAAAGTGGTCCCTACAAAGTGTCCTGAGTGGCAGGCGTAGACCGCACACTTAGTGGGCCCACAGTGTCACCAGGGCTGCCGGAGGCGAGCGGTCCCCCCAGGGCAGTGCAGACCCACCTGGCGCCGGGACTCCCTGCGTGGTTCGAGCTTGGTTTTCTGGTGGACGAGGGCCAGTGCCTGGGGCACTGCATGGGGAGCGGCTGGAGGGCACCTTTGGTGCTGACCGATGCGGTAGCGCTGGTGTGGGGCCTGGGGCCGGGGCAGCGGGCATCACAGGTGCCAGGCCTCGCAAGGCTGCGTCTCTGCCCAACTGGGTCCTGAGTCTCTGAGCACCAAGGGGCTCTGCCTGCACACTGGGGGCGCCGAGGCCCACTCATCTGCAGGCACCTCGCTCAGGACGGTGGTTCTTGTTTAATGCTCACCCAAGGGCGTGTTTATTGATGTTAGAGGGGGAGAGACAGACAGACAGACATTGATGTGGGAGAGAAGCACCCATCAGTTGCCTTCTGTATGCGCCCTGACTGGGGATTGAACCTGTGCCCTGACCGGTGATGGGAGCAACAGCCTTTTGGTGTACAGAGCCCGCCGAGCTGCCCATCCAGAGCCAGGACGGTGGGTCTCAACGTGGGTGTGTCGGAGACTCACCCACACGGGGGCACGCTCCAAATTTCTTCTGGAAAGCAGGCTGCCGTCTGTCTCCCGTGTGCAGTTGCTGGGGTCTGGGCGCTGGTGGCCCTGACTGGGGGGCAGCCCGCCAGTTGCTGGGGTGGGAGCAAGGACGCCAAGGGCCCCTGGGGGTCAGAGACCCGGCAGAGCAGGTCCCAGGAAGTGGGTGGGGCCCAGGCCCAACGCACTGGGGGCTGAGGGTCCCTGTCTGCCCTGGCCCCTCAGGGGACCGGGCACAGCCCCCATCAGGGTCTCTCCCGATGTCAGCCCTTGGCCCAGCTGAGGTGCTGGAAACTGGACAGGCCCTGGAGCCTCTCGCTTCTGACTCCTCCTCTTTCCGAAGAGGAGCTGGAGATGCAAGGAGAAAGGGGGTTTGCTGGGTTCTTCCCGAGCTCCATCTGGAGGTGGCGGCCGCCACCCGTGCGTCTGCTGGCATTTGCGTCTCTGGCCTCAAGTCACTTGGTGAACAGATGATCTGAGATCTGAGAACCGCAGCCAGGTGCTGAGGTCGGACCCCAGGTCAGGAGGACCCCTGGGCCTCTCTTCTGTCTCTGCTGAGGCTCCTCGCCTGGGGTCCAGGCCCACTCGGAGGGCCCCGTGCCCACCCGCACGTGCTGAGGCCCATTCTGTGGGCATCCTGGCTGCGTCCCTAGGAGTCCCACCCACCAGCAGCAGCAGCCTCTGAAGGCGCTGCCCCTGCCCTGAACTCTGTCTTGTGGCCCGTGTGCTGGCTGAGCTGGCTCTGGACACAGCCATCCCTGTCTGGCGGGGTCTGCGAGGGGTCCGCTCAAGGCCAGCCCTCGCTGGCCTTCCTTTTCCCTCCGGCGGGCGGGGCTGGTCTGTGGGAATGTGAGCTTTTGCTCTGTAAACAGCTGGTGACTCAGCGCACAGCTATGCCCGGCGCCTCCAGGCCCCGGTGCACTGACGGCAGCCGGGAGAGGAGAGGAGCCGCCGGGCCACCGCCGCCCTTCCGTGCACAGCGAGGAAACGCTCCTCGGGGCCCCCGCCAGCTCCCCGGCTGCTCCCGTGTGGCTGTGATCACAGCCCTGCAGGGTGGGCTGGGCCGTGGGCCACCCCAGGTGCTGAGGGTCAAGCCAATGTCGGAAGCAGTTCCCAGCTCCTTGCCAGGATCTCCCCACACTGGGCCATCTTCTCCAGCCACTTGAGGGGGCAGGGAGGACTCTGGCAGGCCCTGCTCTCTGCTGCCCTCCGCCAGCACCCAGGAGAGTGGTGACCCCAGGGGCGGGGGGCTGAGGCCCCATGCTGAGTTTGCAGCCTCCTCCCGTTCTGAGGGGGCGGAGGGGCCAGGCGCTGTTGCAGGGTGTCCTGCAGCTGCAGCCAGGCTGGGGCTCCCCCCCACCCCCCCGTTGGAGTCCGAGTGGAGGTGGTGGCCGTGGTGCGGCTCCGTCTCTGGGGCCTGAGGACCCTCCCTGTCAGATATCTTTTGTCAGGGATGTCAGCTGGACCCCATGCTGTGAGCGGCGACACCGCCACACAGCAGTCTGGTGTGAGTGTCCTCTGACCCTGGGCCAAGGGGGCGCAGGGGCTTGGTGACTGTCCCACAACCTGTGATGTCTGCCCTATTGGCCCAAAGCCATTGTTGCTGTGGGCTTCTCTGTTTCCATGACAACCACCAGGGGTTGGCGACTTCCCAAGGTCTCCATGGCAACTATCAGAGGGGAATCATGCTTGGGATGCTTGGCTGGCTTTTTCGTGAATGATTAGAATGAGTGACACAGTGCAGACGCGCAGACGAGGAGGGCGGGCGGCGGGGGCCTGCGGCCGGCGGGGACGGCTCCCGCCAGACGAGCGGTGAGCTCTTCAGGTGGTGGCCACCCCTCCTGTGGGCTCCCAGGCTGCTGCAGGCACCCTGCTCGCCCTTGGGCCCAGGTCCTGGCTGGGGTCGCCCAGGTGGGGCTGTGATGTCCCAGCGGGCGGTGCCCTTGGCAGAGGTGGGCCGGAGGGGCAGGGCCAGGCTAGAGGCCCTCGGGGGTCACAGGGCTCCACTCAGGGCAGGTGCTGCCCAGGGCTCGCAGCTCCTCAGGTGCCAGGTTTGGCCATCCTCAGAGAGCCTCTGCCGCCTGCACCCAGCCGCGGACTGCGCCTCCATGCCCCACCCCCGGCGCAGACGCCTGTGCTCTGGGGGAGGCGGCAGGGAGCTGCATCTCCGAGGCCTGGGCGTCCCTGGGTCCTAGTGCTCTTGGCCAGGGAGGGGAGGGGCACTACGATGAGATGGGTCTGGCTGCTTCGTGGGCAGTTGCTGGGGGGGGGCACAGCTGGCGGTCCTCTGGGCACAGTCCCAGGCCCAGCCAGGATGCCCACCCCAAGGCAGCCCCTCAGGATGGGTGGGGCCCTCCAGACCCTCGGGCACTGTGACCAGACAGGAGGGGGGCCAAGGTGAGCCTGTCCGGAGCCTTGGCAGGACACCAGGGACGGAGCCCAGCTGACCCCACTCGCCTGTGCCCTGTGCTCTTCCAGTCACGACTTCCGAGCAACTCTGTCCTGGTGACTGTGCCCAGGTTATGACGACGAATCCCAAACCGAACAAGGCATTCAAGGTGAGTGGGTCAGGAGTGGGCGGACTGGGACCCATCCCTCCTCCCCCGGGCCACCCTCCAAGTGGGAGGAAGGCAGCCTGTTCACCTGCAAGAGAGTGAGGGCTGTGGTCTGGAGGGAATGTCACCGGGAGAGGTGGGGACAGAGTCAGGGGCTGTGACCTCAGGAGACGCCAGCCCTGAGCCTGGGAAGGTGACTTGTGTGTGGAGGGTGGTGGGTGGGCTCCTCACCCAGGTGTGGGCAGGTGGCAGTGCCCTGGGGCTGCGGTCTCTGGTTTTGGGATCCAGGTAGCATCTCCGTGCATTTGTGGGCTCTGCACCCCCAAGCCTTCTTGTCACCGCCTCCCTGTGTCAGTCCTGCACCAGGCCCTGGAGGGCCACTGGGCAGCACCCACGTGGGTCATGGCCTGGCACGTTTGGGTGGCTGCTGTAACCCAGCAGTGGCCAGTGTAGCCGACAACCTTCTCAGGGAAGGACCTGAGACCGAGCCATCCTGGGGGCCCAGTGCTGACCTGGCACCCTGGCCTGCAGGTCAAGAAGGAGGCGGGCGAGAACGCCCCGGTGCTCAGCGATGATGAGCTGGTGTCCATGTCGGTGCGGGAGCTGAACCAGCACCTGCGGGGCCTGTCCAAGGAGGAGGTGGTGCGGCTCAAGCAGCGGCGCCGCACGCTCAAGAACCGCGGCTACGCCGCCAGCTGCCGCATCAAGCGGGTGACACAGAAGGAGGAGCTGGAGCGGCAGCGGGTGGAGCTGCAGCGAGAGGTGGAGAAGCTGGCCGCAGAGAACGCCAGCATGCGGCTGGAGCTGGACGCACTGCGTGCCAAGTACGAGGCCCTACAGACCTTCGCGAGGACCGTGGCCCGAGGGCCCGTCACACCCTCCAAAGTGGCCACCACCAGTGTCATCACCATTGTCAAGTCTCCCTCCGTGCCCTTCTCCGCCGCCTCCTAGTGCCGGTGGCAGGGCGCCGGGGGGCAGGCGCCAGGCACGTCCCTGTGCTCATCAGAGGGTCCATGGGGACAGACCCCCCAACCTCCAAGTCCACATGCAGACTGCAGGGGGGCTCCCCTGGGGTGGCTGTGGGTGCCGCGTGAAGAGCAGGGTCTGGTGAAGCCATGCACCACACGCCTCCCCACACACGCACGCACGCTCGCCGGTCTCCCTTTCAGCTCGCCAGCCTTCCCCAGACTCTGCTTTCAGGGGGCTGTGTCTCCCGGGGAGCCAGGATGCGTGGAGGGAAGGCCTCCAGGGGGCTGCTGGCCATGTGGCCTTATGTCTTCCATCCCTCAAACAGCTGTCCACCTGCTGTTGTCTACCTGCTGGTTCCCACCAGTCGGCTCAGGCCCTCCTGGCCCGACTGAGCTCCGGCGCCCCAGGAGGAGCCTTCTGTCCCCGGTGTCCAAACACACCTTGACTCTGCTTTAGCCTTAGCCAGAGCCCTATGGCAGTGGGTGGGCAGGGGCCTGGGGGTTGTGGTGCCCCCCAGGTACTGGCCCCATGGGGGCCTTGGAGGAGCAGCTTGTCACAGGCTATTCCTGGGGTCCTGTCGGACCTGTGTGGAGAGGTGCTTACATGTTGCGAATTGTCAGCATGTGTCAGGGTGACAAGGGAGGTCCCTAGCTCCCGGCTGTCTGGCCTTGCTGCTCCTGCAGGGCCCTGGAGGGTAGAGCCAAGGGGCCAGGGTGGGGGCCCTGGGGTTGGAGGGGAAGGGGGCGGTTCTGGTCCTGGGTGGGCCTGGTGTGGCTCTGACAGTGGGGCTGGGCTGCACCTGGCTCCTGCAGCTGGAGGAGGGGAGGCTAGGTGGCAGGTGCAGATGGGGGGTGGCTGGCTGACACTGTGCAGACCCGCCTCCCAGGTGTCCCCTGCTGGCCTGTCAGAGAGGACAGGGGACTCTGCATCCTTGGTGCTTGGTCATCGCCTGCAGCCTTCACCCGCGCTCTCCACCCCAGAGCCACAGCGGCCTTGGTGACCTTTGCTGGGGTGACCTCCCTGGAGCTGCTGCAGGTCCTCCCAGGAAGGTGCTGGGGGAGTTGTGAGCCCAGGCCCCCCCTCCCAGCAAGACCCTGCAAAGTGCAAGGGCCCCGCCCCAGGCAGGGTGCCAGCCACACCATCTGCATTGCAGATGGTCAGCAAGTAACTGGCCGCCTGGCCCATGGCAGTGCCCTGTCCTGGGGGCTGGCTGCGTCCTCAGAGCAGAGGCCGGTGCACGGGAAGCCACCGGCGCCATGGCTGTGGCAGGTAATCCACATTGGATATCAGTAAGGACCGTGGGGCGTATTTAAGAGAGAGAAGTATATATAAATAAAGTTATCCACAGTTTATCGTACAGATTTTTGTACCTTTTCCTGTTTGATACTGTAAACCCACAGCCCCCCAGCCCGTCCATCTCCCCGCCTGCCCTCTCTTGGCTCTGCTGGGCTGCGTCCTGGGCCTGGGGGTCTGGCCAGTGTCCCACCTGGTGGCTGCCCCCAGTCCCCAGAGCATCCGGGGGGCCTCCCTCTGTGGGGAGGAGGGGATCACAGAAGGAGGACTGGCGATGTGCCCCCTGCTTTTCCTTTCACGTCACCGAGGTTTCATCATCACAGGTTAATATATGGATTTTTTATTTAAGAGAAAAGGTGAGGACCTCTCCCGTGCTTCAGGTCGGGAGTCCTTCCCAGAGGGCCACCCCGCCCTCCCCGGGGACAGGCCCCCGCCACGGCGCTCACCCACCCCCGCCTCCGGCCGCTCAACAGTCTCATTTCTATATTTATTTTTGTGCTGCTTTCATCCCCATATAAATTATTGAGAGACCCTGTGTTGTGGCCCTCATGTGCGAGGTGTGTGCCCGCCCACCCTGCACCCGAGGCCACCGCCTAATTTATCGTCCTGCGTTTCTGCTTTTGTAATAAAGAGTCCTCTGCAGTGAAGAGTCTCCTGGTCTCTGGTGCGTCTCGCAGAGGAGTCAGTGCTCTGGCCCTTGCACCTGCTGCACCCGTGTCCTACCCTGTCAGCGGGCCCCTCACCGGGACAGCAGGGCCCACATAGGGTGCTGCTGGGTGTGGGTCCCTGGGCTCTGAGGTCCCCCAGGTGGCAGGGGCAGCTGGGCTCACTCCAGGCTCACAGGGTCCCCCCCCCCCCTTGCTCACAGCCTAGCATCTTGCCTCTGTCCTACTTCCTCCAGAAGTCCCCCTGCATGGGCAGCCTGTCTCCACCACGGCTGAGCTGTGGGTGGCCAGCCATGGGAGTTGACATGGTCTGCAAGGCCTCCCGGGTATAGAGGGCATGGGTGGCAGGTTGGGAGGGGCACTTTCCCCTGGGCCCTGGTGGCACCTGGGGGAGGCTGCTGGCCACAAGCACCCCGTACCCAGGCCTGAGGAGTAATTTCATTGTGGACCCCGTGGGCCAGGCAGGCCCCGCCCTGCTCTCCGAGTCTCCTGGCACCTCCGCCTCTTTCCCTGCTGATGCGGGAGTGGGCAGCAGGGGGACTGGGAAAGGGGGCTGGGGGTGGCCCCTGGGCCTCCCCGTCTGTGGGCTCTCAGGCACCACGCCGCTGCCCAGCTCCCTGCACCTTTCCCTGGCCCCCGCCCCACCCCGCTGAACGCCTGGACACAGGACAGACCGAGACCTGCAGCTGCTGCTGCCCTCGCCCCTGCGGTAACTCCGACCTCTAGGCCCAGCCACAGTGCCCCAGGAGGCACCCCGTCCCTGAACGGCTGCCTCTGTTCCCGGTCTTGGCTTCGGAGGACATGCCCTTGTCCATCCAGGCTCAGCTCCCCCAACTGACAGGGAGACCCCAGGCGGCAGGCTCCAGGCCAGGCCCCTCTGCACCCTTAGGTGGCACAGGGTGGGCCACCTCCCTGCCCTTCATGGAGCGGGACGCTCCCCCAGCACCCAGACCCCAACCTGCCTCAGTGCATGGGTTGGGGTGCCAGCCCCAAGGGACAAAGGCATGGGAATTCCTAGAAATTCAGCAATTATGCAAATTCTCTGTGTAAGCAGCAGCCCTGCCTGCCCCTCTGGTGGGCCCCACACCCCTGGCCCACACAGGGTGCAACTCCCTGGGGTGGGGGCCACAAGGGCACAGTGCCCAGGGCAGCCACCTGAGGGGACAGCCAACTGCACCTGCAGGTCCTCGGGCCCCTCAGACAAGCTCAGTGGCCCTCTCACCCACTGGCCTGGCAGGAGGGCTCTTGGGAAAAGCTTGACCTTTGGCAAGAGGGTGGGCGGGTGGGGGGCCCTGTCCTTCCCCGGAGGCCAGACCGCCCGCCCACTAGAGCTCGTCCGAGAGGATCAGCATCCTCTTCTCCACGCTGCGGCTCTTCCGGCCACCACCAGTGCCCCCGGGGTGGGAGCCGGGCCCCGGGCCCTCCTGCGTGGCCTGCTGCGTGTACTGCTGGTAGGTGGGAGAGAAGTTGTGGACGGCGTCCTGCACAATGTCTTGCGGGCTCATGGTCTCCTTGAGGCCACTGGAGATGCTCTGCATGGCCGCTGCGGGGGCTGCGGGGCCGCAAGTGCATGTTGGGGCTGAGGTCTCTCTGGGCCTGTCTTGCCCCTAGGCCCCCAGCCCCAGGATGTGGCCTGCTCCTGTCTGCCTTGGGCTTCCCAGGGCTCGGGTTGGCTCGTGGGGACCCCCAAATGCTAGTCCAGCTCCTCTGAGGGGCTGTCCCGGCCAGACCCCCATCAGGGCCACCAGTAGGGTGAAGGCCTCGGCTGGCTGGCCCTGCACAAATGGGTCATTCACTAGGGGTGCCAGCAAAAACTGTCCCTGTCCCCCACCCAGTCAGGCTGGCCGGGGTACCTGGGTGTGGTGGGCAGGGGCCTTGGGCCCCAGTGTCTGGTCCAGACCGCCTGCCCCCAGGCCCTGCTGCAGTCTGTCCCAGGCCTGGCCCTACCTGCCCACTGAGTCGGCACCGCCTGGACTCGCACACAGGACAGGATGGAGATATGTGGACAGCACCGGGGAGGGCGGTGGCCACCCCCACACCAGGGCCAGGGGTGCCCTTCCAGGCATTGTAGCCCCCCACCCCCCACCAGCTGCAGGGCCGCATACCTGGCGAGCTGTCCTTCTCTGAGTACACCTGGCAGGGGAAGGCGTAGCGCAGGGCGATGGCGGCGAAGAGCATCTCGATACAGATGATGAAGTTCTGGTAGCCAGCGGCCAGCGTGCCAGCCCCCATCCTGCTCCCATCCACTGCATGGGCCTCAGGGATGGCCCCACACCTCTCCAGGATGGCCAGCAGCACCCCTGGGGGAGGCGACAGCCACTCAGGCAACCCCTGGACAGGAGGCTGGGCCGGAGAGGACCCCAGCCCGGGATCCCATGGCCGCCTGCCTCATGGGCTTGGCCGGGTCTGCAGGGGAGTGACGGGACAAAGGTAGGGCCCCAGAGTTCCATGGCCCAGCCCTGTGAAGCCTTGCCCACCCACATGGTCCCGGTCTGTGCAGGGGAAGACCCAAGTTCAGGGCAACTCCAAAGCCGGAGTCCTGGCTCAGGGGATGTCCAAGAATCCCCCACGAGCCCAGCCCTGGGCCCCTCATGTTCCTCACCCGAGTGTGGGCAGGCCCAGGCCCAGGGCAGGCCCCTGCTCGGCCCACACCAGCCAGCCCCGCGCCCGCTGTGCGGACTCCCACTGAGGGGCTGGCACTCCCCACGCTGCGGGGGGGCGTGGGGGGCACCGACGCTGAGCCCGAGGGTTCAGGTGGAGGTGGGATTGCAGCCAGGCTCACTGGGCTCAGTGGCCCCACCCACCCTGCCAGAAAGAGAGGAAGACCACGGCCTTGACGGTGAGGAACTTGAGGACGGGCTCGAAGGGCTGCAGGGGCTCTCGGGTGGCGACGTAGAAGAGCGTCAGGGCGTAGAGCGCCAGGCTGACGGAGGCGTTGTACAGGAGGGTGACGTAGAGGTAGCCGCTGCGGATGCTGGGCCCAGAGCAGGGGCGGGGTCAGGCCGGCCTGCGCCCCACGCCCTCCCCCGGTGCCTACCCACTGTGCCAGCACCAACCCAGGCCTGCTCTTCCCTTCAGGGGGCAGGTGACGCCCGAGCAGAGGGGCTGCAGGCACGGGCCAGGGGGCCTTCCAGGAGCCCCCACAGGGCAGGCAGGAGGTGGCCCGCCCAGGTGCAGCCTGAAGGGTGGGCCCTCTGTGTTGTGGACATGGGCAGGCATACCTGTGCTGGCGTGTGAGCATGTCCATGTGCACCCACACGTGAGCACGTGTGTGTGTGTATGTGTGTGGTCCTCAGCCCGAGTACCCTGGGGTCCAGCCTTTGTTATCACTTGGGTGGGCCTGGGGCTGTCTGGGCTGCTGGCTCCTCAGGGCTCACCTGTGACCCGCCGGCCCTGCCGCTGGGCCCAGAAGAGGAGAGGCCGGTCTTCCAGTGCTGAGCCCCCCTCCAAGAACCGCCAACCTCCCACGCACCTCCCAGCTGGTACCCCTCCCCTGCCAGCCTCACTTGAAGTCCCCATCGTGGTATTTGCCGACCGCCTGCAGGACGATGGTGACCAAGGCCATGCTGGGCTTCACAACGCAGAACTGCAGCGTGGCCTGGGAGTGGGGGCGGGGATCGAGGGCGCAAATGTGGGGGCCGCACGCTGAGCGCAGGAGACGGGCGGGGCGGGGCGGGAGGACCCACTCACCTGCTTGCAGAAGCGCAGGAACCCGATGGAGTAGGCCATGCCCCGTAGGCAGCAGGTGCCGTAGAGGCAGCTGGACCTGGGTGTGCGAGTCTCTGAGGCCGGGCCCTGGGGAACCTGCCCGGCTGCAAGCTGCCCGGGGTGCGGAGGGGCTGGTGGGCCCCGCGGGAGGCGCTTACCGGACAGGCTTCCCCCGAATCTCAGCCATGATGGCGCTCTCACCGCCCAGGTACTGGAAGCAGAGGCTCAGGAAACTGTAAATGACGAAGGCTGCGGGGGCCGGCATGCAGGGCGGGCGCAGTGAGCCTGGGCTGCCCCCCTGTGGGAAGTCTCCCCGACCCCTTCGAAGGACCCGTTTCTCCGAGGACGCGCCGAGGCTCGTTCCCACTACAAGGCCTGCAGCCCAGCTCTGGGACGCACTCCACCCGGTGTCCCACAGTGCTCGCTGCAACTCTGCAGCCCCTGCCTCCTCCAGGGCCCTGCGTCCCCTCCGACCGGGGGCAGACCTGGCTGCAGCACCCCACCCCCACGCTGGTCCCACCTGTCAGGCAGCCCGCACCCTAGGGTCCCACTGAGCCAGATTCGGGCCTAAGGGCAGCCGCTTCTCCCCAAGCCCAAGCCTAAGCCTGCCTGAGCCGGGGCCTCACCTTCGTAGCAGTCCCGCACGGAGTCCAGGTAGATGTAATGCTGGTGGGCCCCCAGGAGGAAGAGGCTGAGCCAGGAGTTGAGGGCATAGATGGGCACGATGAGGAGCAGGCGGATGATGTACCTCTGCTCATTGGGGACCATGTAGGAGCGCAGATGCAAGTAGATCTGGGCAGGGGGGTGCGGCATGGGGTCTCGGCCACCGCTCCCCCTGTGGGCAGGGGGAGACACTCATTCATCCTGGCTCGTGTGTTCACCCACTCACTCATCTGAGGAGAATCTCCCGAGGGGCAGTCATGGTCCCAGTGAGCAGAGACATTCCAGGAGACACTCTGGCATGTCAACAGGGCGTCAAGGGCTGGTGCCCTTTGACCTCTGTACAGAAGGATGTCTGTCGTGGCCACGCACAGCAAGGTCCACACAGTGGAAGCCGGATCATGTGGCCAGAAAAATGGGGACATGCCCTGAGAGAATGCACGTGGACACGTGGGGACAGTGGGCCTAGCAGCCCCCCAACTGTGCGGACAGTGCACAGGCAGAGTGGAGACATCGGCACTGGCTCACCCGGATGAGGGGAGACACAGGTGGTAACAGCTTATTTGTAAACTTTTCTAGGGTTCCTACGAGGACATAAAAAAGTGACTGGATCTTTAAGAGGAAGAGGTACAGGGAAGCCAGGTGCAAAGGTGGCTGGCCCTGTGGTCTCAGAGCACCCCTGGAAGGCTTCCTGGAGGAGGAGCTGTGAGCAGAGGGGGAGAGAGGGTGGGAAGGGCAGGCCAGCAGAGGGAGTGACACATGCAGAGGCCAGTGTGCCCTGTTTCCTAGGGCACAGCTGGGGTATAGGTGGAGGCGGATCAGCGCAGGAACTGCCTGCTTATCAGCTGCTCACTCCCTGGCTGACACAGTGGGCAGGGCGCAGCGAGACCAGCCACCGGGGGACCCGGACTCTGCTCCCGGTGCCAGCCCCAACTAGCTGGGTGGCCTTGGCACACTGCTGTCCTCTCCAGCCTCAGCTGCCCGTCTGTAAAGCAAGGGCTCCGGTCCCTGTCTGTCCCACTGGGTTGTGGATGGGCCAAGGGCCTGGCAGCAGGGGCTGGCAGGGGTGGAGCAAGAGGGTGGGCCTGAGGGCTGCAGCCCTGGGGTCTGTGTCAGCTCTGTCCCTGCAGTGGGTCCTCTGGAAGCTCAAGCACACGCGCGCGCGCACACACACACACACACACACACACACACACACAGCTGGGCCCCGAATGACAGAAGGTCTGGGCTGGAGAGAGGCAGAGTCCAAGGCCCAGACTCTGGCTGGGACTGAGACGGCCTGACTCTGGGCACTGGTGAGTGCCCTCCTTGATGCTTTTTGTCCTACAAATCACAGCCTACACCAGACCCAAAGCCATTCTGCCACCACACAGCCAGGGGTGGCTTCATGCAAATGAAAATGAGCCTTCCACCTGTCCCGCTGACTGTGGCCATGTCTCATGGGGTCCACAGGAGGTGCGGCAGGAGGGCTTACCTGGTGGCAGGTGAGCGCCAGGGCAGTCCACACGAAAACGCCCGAGATGCCGCGGGCCAGCGGGGTGGTGAGAAAGAGCTGGGAGGTGCCCTGGGAACTGTTCCCCACATGGTCCCCCCACAGCAGCCCTGCAGGCTCAGTGGGCATGGCTGCTGGGGGGCTGGGCTGCAGCCCAGTTGCTGGCTCCAGGGGGGCTCCACCAGCTGTCGGGAGCCCTGGAGCATTAGTCATCTGCAGAGGTTGGGAGGACTCAGCGCCTCGGTGCAGGAGAGAGCAAAGGTTTCCGGAGGCTGGACGCAGCCCAGGGCTAGGAAGAGAGGGAGGCAGTGGGGAGGGGTGGCTCCTCCCCAAGGTGGCCGGTCGCACAGGTGTTGGTCCCTGGCCATTCACAGGTGGTGGTGGGGGCTGAGTCTGACCACCCTGCCCACTTTTCCTGACACCAGAGGCCCCGGGCACCCTCTGAGCATGGCGACCTGGCTCTGAGGCCCAGGTCCGGGGAGCCTCCTTCTCCCTCCTGGGGTGCCAGGCATCTCCCTCCTGCCACACTCGCCAGAGGCTCTGTCCAGCCTCACCCCCTTCCTCCTGCCTTACTCACCGCCCAGCACCTACCTCTCAGGCAGGACGCTCTGGCCTGGCCCTGGGAGACCTGGCTGGTCATCTGTGTGGCCACGTGGCCCCCACCGATGGTCCCACAGGGGGTGGGTCGAGCCCGCTATCTGGAGGCCCTAGGAGCCCTGGGGAGGGGCAGCAGCTGCTTCGTCGTGGGGTGGCCCCCCTGAGCTCCACCTGAGCTCCCTGCTGTGTGGAACAGCCCGCGGAGGAGGCAGGGGGAGGAGCTTAGGACACTCTATCCCTCCTGGCTGCTGCTGGGCAGCAGCTGGCTCGCCGGAACCTGCTGGTCGCCAGGTGCCCTCACCTGCCTGCGCCACCTGGCCAGGCGGCTGCCGTCAGAAGACAGGTGGGAGGATCTGCAGAGGGGCAAGGTGGGCGGAGCTGGGCCAGAGGGTTTCACAGGGCAGCCCCCAAACGGGGCCCGAAGTATGGGAGACACCATTTCTACCGAGGGACGGAGAGCTCTGCAAGGAGATGGAGTGGTGGTCGCACCACATCGTGGGTACACTGAATGGCTTAGAAATGGGTACAGTTTTTTATGAGAAGTTTGCCTCAATTGAAAAAGCCCCGTTCCAAAGAGGTGCATTGGAAACATTTCTGGTTTTGAGGGGGATGGGGCCCTGCTTGGGAGCCAAAGGGGCTTGCATGCCGTGGGGGTTGGGAAGAGGTGTCTGCTCTATGCCAGTCTGGGACCGAGGGCTCGTCCTTTGTGCCACTGACCCTCCTTGTGACCCGGGCACCAGGGTCAGGGCCTGCTTTGCTGGGACTGTGGTGCTCTTTCAGAGGTGGCAGTGGGGAGCCAGGAGAGGCTCGTCCGTGTTTCCAGGGTCCCCCAAGGACACGGGAAGCCCCAGGATGAGGCTGCACCCCGTGGGGGTGCACCCCCCTCCCTCACGCACACTGCATCCCCAGGCGCCCCAGCCCAGGACAGGCCCTGCCACTCAGTTACAGCCCTAAGGCCCGGCCCAGCCTGGGCCTCCCACAGCCAACGCCCCACAGGGGCCTCCTCCGAGGACTTTTCTCCGTGCTGACTCCTGTCCTGTTGTCTCAGGTGACACCTCCTCTGTCTTGTTGCTGCATCGTCAGCTGCCTCCCTGCCGAATCAGGAGCTCCTGGAACCCAGTGCTGCTGCCCTGGCCAAACCCAGGGTATGGGGAGCCAGGGCCCCGGGTGGCAGTGTGGCCTACCCTCTCCTGGCAAAGTGAGTCCTCCCTGCGTGCAACGGCGCTTGCCCGGAGCCAAAGCTGCCCATGGTGCCAGTGCACCGGCACAGCGCCAGCGTGGTGTGCGCTGACCTGTGCTCACTGCCCATTGGCACAATGGCTCCGGGGCCTTGGAGGGCGAAGACTCAGATGTCAGGACAAAGACAGGACTGGTGGGGACCTACCCACACAACAGGGTGGGGTGCAGGCCTCGGGCCTCCCCGGACGGATGCTGGGCTTGGTGAGCGCACAGTGGGAAGTGCTGCATTTAGATGCCACATGGATGTCCCCGGCTGGAGTCCCCAAGGGTGCCGGCTCCAGGCAGGAGCCTCTGAAGCGCTGCCCTTTTTCAGAGGCAGATCGCACTGTGTGGAAAGGCAGGCCAGAGGCCGGGTGGTCTTCACGTCCCACAGCTCTGCAGGCAGCAGGCAGAGGCAAAAGGTTGTTGACATCAGACTGAGCTGATGTATGGCCGCAGGGGGTTCCTGTCCCCTGGGAAGCCCCTCCACTCCAGGCCACCCCTGCTCTGACAGTGGGGCCAGCCCAGCGTCATTCGGGGCTGCTCCCATAGTCATCCTCCCCTGGCAGGAACTGCCTCCAGCAAGGCCTCCAGACAGCCTGGCTCTGAGGCTTCCCCATCCCCATTCTGGAGCCTCCTGCACACTTGGGCAATGCCTTCACCTCATGGAGCAGCATTGGCTTTGGCCTTGGCCTGGCCCTTTCTGCTGGCACGCACCTCATGTGTATTCTATAAGCCTGGGGCTCCATCTGGCCACCCGGGCAGGCCCCCTTACTGCTCTGCCTTCTCATCTGTAGAGGTGAGTTTGAGGCCCTTCCCCGGGTACAGTGTGCAGGTTTCTGCCGTCTCTGGGGACCTAGGACAACCTTCCTTGCAGTGCCCTGAGTTCAAGTGAAGGTGGTCATGTGACCCTCCCAGGGTTCGGCCCCCCCCCAGATCAAGGGCAGGAAGCAAACAAGACACAGTGGGTGGGTGAGGTGATCCTCCTCCGGGGAGCAGGAGGAGCCCAGCTGTGGCAAGGCTCCAACAGTGAACAGAGGGTATGAGCACTGAGGGCTTGGCTCCTGTGTGCGGGAGGCTGTCAGCTCAGGGCTCTCTGGCCACAAGTGCCGGTCCCGGGAGGACTGGGAGATCATACTCAGGAGAGGTGATCAGGCCAGCTGGGCCTGATTTTCTTGCCTGGGGCTGGACACTGACCAAACCTGTCACAGGACAGACCTGCTGGCCCAGATCCGGGCAGCCAGGCCTCTGTCCAGGTGACTGGCCTCCCTGGCAGCTTCCAGCAGGGTTGTGGGGTGGCGGAGAGGCTGCTGACTGCCCCAGAGCTCAATGCCTGTCTGCACTGGTGACCTAATGCCTATGCCTCTTGGCCTTCATGCTGGCACTGAGCCTCTCTCCAGGCCAGCCTGCCATCTGGGGACATCGCTCTGACGGCAGGTGGCCCCTCTCCCATGAGACACACTCCCTCCCTCCTTCCCTGCCCCCAGCCAAGAGCTGTGCCCTCTGGGCTGACAGAGACAAGGTGGGGGCTGCAGTGGTGGCTGACCTGACAACCTGCCTCCCCAGGCCCTCCCCCCTGGTATCCAGGGGGTGGCAGGACTAGTCACTGAGCATCTGTGCAGCACTCACATGGCTACCAACTTAGTAATGCCCACCATGCCTTGGGGCCGGAGTGACTGGACCGGGACTTAGTATTGGCCAAGGTCTCAGGTGCTCAGGCCTTCAGGCCACACACAGGCAGCAGGAGGCACAGAGAGGGGCAGTGGCTGGACTGTGGGCCCTTGACCCTCAGCAGCACCCTGTAGGACAGTCCCAGCCTGGGGACCCCAGGCCACTTTTCCCCACCTCTGGGCCTGAGCGGGCAGGGGGATGGGTCCTCCCAGCGGTCTCTGGGGTCACTCAGTGGCCAGGGCAGGGAAGCATCGCCTCTTGGTGGCCAACTTCTGCTCCTCACTTGGGCCTGGGCGCTGGCCCCAGAGCTGGGGGAGCAGGACCTGGGACCCCAACCCACCACCTAGTGTCCATGACCTTGGGCCTCTGTCAGCTTGTTTCCACGGGTGATTAGAGTCCCCATGAGCAGAAAGCCAGCCCCCGTCGGGGCAGGGGCTCAGTGGGTGCCCCGCCTCCTGCTCCTCTTAAAGCAATCACAGGTTGCTGCCACCTGGGAATGTCCTGGGTGGGCTTCCCTTAGTTTCCAGGCTGAGGGACTGACCAGCCCTGCCACCCTGTCAGCCAGGGGAACACTTGCTGGGGATTCTGGGATATCACTCAGTCATCCTGTATTGCCCTCTCCAGGTAGAACATGTGTGAGCCGAGGGCCTGTCTGTACCTGCCCATTGCCCCAGAGCGAGCTGCTGCCAGCCCTGGATGTGTCCTTGGAGGAGCCAGCGCACTGACCTGAGCCTGGACTGACCAGGCAAACCGCAGACCCTTTGGTTGCCCGGGGCATCCCTGGGTCTGTCAGGGGCATGACCTCGAGGGGGTGCAGAGGGGCTGTGACTCTCAGAATTTCAAGATGTGGGTGTTTCTCTCCAGGAGCCCCCACCCCACTGCAGTGCTTGGGGCTACAGCCTGGATACCACCCCCTCCTGTGTGTGCACACACACAACACACAAACACACAGGGCCTTGTATTTGCCACACAAGGTTTCCTTCCACCTGAGGTACATGAACTTGAACTTAGGCCATGGTACCAAAAGTTCTCAGTGCTGCTAAGGGTGGTGAAGTGGCTTGGGTTGAACACTCATCTTTAATACAAAACCAATTTCCTTCAGTAGCTCATACTGCACACTGAGGGCCCTGACTCACCCTTTTAATTCTCAAATGTAACTGGCCCAATGAGAGCTATTCAAGACTCTCCCAACATGCCCTCCATGGACAGTGCTGGAGGCCAAATCAAGTCTGCTGGGGACTGGAACATCTCTGGCTTCCAGAGAAGCAGCCAGGGCTGCAGCCAGGGCAGCCCATCCTTCCGACTGCTGAAGATGGGTCTTCGAGTGGACAGCACGTCCAAGTTCCCACTGAGCTCTGTCCAGCCACAGGGTCACCACACCTGGCACGTCTGAATCACCTCCCGCACGGCCGTCAGCCCCTCCAGGCTCCGGTCCTTCATGGCCACGGCGAGGAGGACTGCTTTGTTCCCTGCTTCCTGAGACACGAATGTCACCAGGTGCTTTGCGAAGACGTGGATGAGAGGCTGGGAAGGGACAGGAAGGGAAGAATACCAGTTTACATCTGCTTGTTCCCCGCCCTCCCCACTTAATGCCTTCATTAAGTGTCCCCAGGAACCCAGGTTGGCTTCCCACACCACATCTGAATCACCACCAAGTTCGAGGTGAGCCTGGTCGGAAACACATCACCAAAGAGACGCCATTCAATTTATCTGCTTAGTGCTTCCTGATTCCCACCCTCCCGGCTCCGTCTGATCTGGGAGGGCTCGGAAAGACAAGTCTGCCAACAGGAACCCCAGCGGACCTTTCCAGAACAAACGCGGACAGCCACTCATTATCTGCATGTACCACAATAGGGTCCGACTGCCGAGAGGCTCTCAGTGCAAAATCAACACCTCCGCTTGTCCACTGGGTAAAGTACTGACCCACCCGGAAAAGCAGCTGCCACAACTAGGTGGATGCCTCACACCCACAAAGGCCCTGGACAACACCACCGCCTCAGGGCTGCCCACCAGACACCCCACGTGGGCATGGACGCTTGACAGCTGCAGAAACGGCTTTTCCTGCACCACGGAAACCTCCTACCACGGAAACTCCTACCAACCACATTACCTCGTCCTGCCCGAGAAGAACTTTCGTCGTGAGCACAGGCTTGCTGACGTCACTAGCCACGTTGCTGGGCTCCAGGGAGACCAGGGTACCCATCTTCCCGAACTGGGTCACCACCACCAGGATGTGACTGCTGAAGGCTGTGCAGACCACCTGGGTGGGGACCCCACGCACCACTTCAGTCCTCTGTTTCGATGTCACCAAGGGTTTGTCTTCCATGGCTGGGGCTCTTCAATGGCACCTTTAGTTTATATAAGACAGGAAGGAGCGGAGGGAGGCTGAAAGGGAGGAAGAGGAGCAAGCCAGCCGACGTCGGAGGCGCCTCGGCGCTCCACAATGAGCATCACTCAGCCTTAAAACAGAAACAGATGCAGCCTACTCAAAGCAAGCGTCTCTGCCCACGCGGGCTTCCCCTGGGACTTTCCGAAGCCGCTGACAGGACGCACGCGGGCGCGAAAGCGTGATGCCAACTGCGCCTGGCGGTCCCGGGCCGCCTCCTTTCCGAACGCCCCCGCCACCAGCACAGAGAATGCTCCGCCGGTTTGCCAGCCGGCGCCAGGGCAGGGGCGCAGCCCCGCCGGTCTATCTGCAAAATCTTTACTTTCTGCGTTCGGGGAAATGACTGGCCCCACAGAAAGGCACCAGGACCGCACGGGCGGAGATCCCGGAGGCGCGAGGCAGGGGGCCGCCTAGTGTGCACTGGCCACCATCCCGCGCATGCTCCCCTCCCTCAAGGCGCCCGGAAGTGACGCACTCGGGCAACGCGCGCCGGAAGTACGGCTCCGGCCGATTCCTCTGGCCGTGCCTCCCGTTCTGTGAGTGGCTGCATGCCTGCTCCCCTGAAGGGGCAGCGGTGCGCCGGTGTGTGCGGTCCCTGCCAGTCATTTGGAGAAAGGACTGCAGCCCCGGCTGCGGCGCCGACACCAGGCCCTGCATGCAGGACGCTCCCGCTTCTCTGGTCCGTCCCCTGAGGGGTCTGGGCCGGGGCCTTGGGTTCCGGGGCTGTTGAGAAAACCACCAGGGAACGCCTGAGACTACGCAGACTTGTCCCCAGTGTGCCTTTGAGCCCGGTTGATGGGGGGCCAGGAGCGCGGTCTCAGACGTTCAGGACAGGGCAGTTCCCAGCTCCTGTTAGGCATTTAGTATTTGTTAGGATGGGCGGGGTAGGACAAAATGGCGGCTGAGCTATGACCCGGAAAAGACGGCTGACGTCAAACCGGAGAGCCGAAAGGGCGGGCTTTATCTGCATAGCAACCTGAGCCCAAGGAAAATCACCAATGATATATTGCTGCTTTGTTTAAAGGGGACCAATCCCCAGCTCCCAAGAAGAGAGCTAACTGAAGTAAAACCCTGCCACCTTCCCTGCTTGGGCACGACTTCCCTGGCCCCACTCGGTGGGCTGGGGAACCTCACCCGGCCCGTACACTCCAATAAAGCTCTATACTGCCTAACTATGTGGCTGATTGGCATTCCTTCCTCAGCGGAGCCTAAGAAAACCTTCCATTTGGTGCTGAAACCTGGGAGGAGTTGTCTGCTGTGAACACCAGTCCTCTCCCTATTCCCTGAGGAGCCCTTGCGGCCACCCCACCAGTCCGGACAAAGAACCAGGGTAAGTGCCGTTGCCCTTAAGTTTCTGGTCCCCGAACACTGATTGCGGCCCCTGTGTTCTGGGAGAGACTGCCCTCCACCAAATCGCGGTGCTGCGTCGGGATAACCCTTCTGGGAGAGTCTGCTTTCCATCCGCTGGGAGGCTCTAGGCACCAGAGGAGACGTCCCTGGGCCTAGGTCCCCATTTTTACCAGACCAGATCAGCAGATTGGGTTGAGGGACGCTGATTTCCGTCTGCCGCTCCTCGTGGGACCAGGAATGGGGGGGCAGGCGTCCAAACCAGACCCTAAGTCACCTCTTGTGTGCCTCCTGAAAATTTTGCCAACAATTGATCCTGGTTTCAAGCAAAAACGGCTGATTTTTCTATCCACTACTGCCTGGCCATTATATCAGCTCGATAATCGTGAAACCTGGCCTCCTAAAGGCACTTTCGATTTCATTGCCCTCACTGACCTAGATAGTTTTTGCAGATGGACTGGCAAATGGTCTGAGGTCCCCTACATTCAGGGCTTTGGGGCCTTGCGCTCTCCTGTCCGGGTCTGTGCACCCAATGCTCCACAGCCCAAGTTCTCCTCATCCGAGGGAACCCTGAACACACCCAGTCTCCTAAGCCTACTGCCCCAGAACCTCCCTCCTCTGATTCCCCTGAAGATCTTGCTTCTCCTCCTCCTCCTCATCAGCTCCCGCCAATGGCTACTTCAGCCCTGGCCCTACCCTCTCAACCGGATTATCCCCCTCCCTCTAAAGACCTTTCTTCCCCAGTTAGCTCATATACTCGCTCCCATCTGAATCTAGAGCCCCTAGACTCCTGTATTTGCCCCCTCTGGGAAGTGGCGGGAGCAGAAGGTGTCGTTCGGGTCCGTGTTTTTTTTTTTTTTTTTCCATTAACTGACCTCTCTTCAGTTGAAAAACGCCTAGGCTCGTTCTCCACTAACCCTACCAATTTTATCAGGGACTTCCAGTACCTAGTCCAGGCTTGTGGCCTCACACGGCATGACCTGCACATCATTTTAACTTCCACCATGACCCCAGATGAGTGCGACCATATCCAGACTGCAGCTAGGGCTCATGCAGACCAAACCCACACCACCAATCCCTTCATGCCAATAGGGGCTAAAGCCATGCCAGAGGTGGAACCAGACTGGGACTACCAGGTAGGACAGGTGGGTCGGAGGCGCTGCGACCAAATGGTCGAGTGCCTGATAGCAGGTGTGCACCAGTCTGCCCGGAAAGCAGTCAATTACGATAAGCTCAGAGAGGTCACCCAAGGCCCTGAGAAAATCCGGCGCTGTTTCTCAACAGACTAACTGAGGCAATGGTGCTCCATACCCACCTTGACCCGCTTCTAACGCTGGGGCCACTGTCTTAGCTGCTCACTTTATCTCCCAGTCGCCCCCAGACATTAGAAGGAAACTGAAAAAGGCCGAGGATGGCCCCCCAACCCCCATCCGAGATCTGGTAAATATGGCATTTAAGGTTTTCAATAACCGGGAAGCAGAGGCTGAGGCTGCCTGCCAGGCTCGCCTACAGCAAAAGGTAGCCCTGCAAACCCAAGCGATGCTAGCTGCCCTTCACCTGGCGGTAAACACTGGCACAGGGGCGAAGCTTAAGTCCAGGCCAAAGAACACCCCACTGGGGGCTTGTTTCAAGTGTGGCAAAGAAGGGCACTGGGCCCGCCAGTGTCCTCAGCCACCAGCGAAGCCTTGCTCCGATTGCCGACAGCTGGGCCCCTGGAGGGATGCCTGTCCCCCTAGAGGCTCACCCCCGGCGCCTCCACGTGGGGGACCAGCCGATCAAGGTGTGGACTCTTCCTGGCCGTGCCGGAACTTTTTGGACTCCTAGGCGATTGAAGTGGCCTGGACTTGAAGACCCCCATCACCCTCACCGAGCCCAGGTGAGGCTGCAGGTAGTGTGTAAGTCCATCTCTTTCCTAGTGGACACGGGGGCTACCTACTCTGTTTTACCATCTTTTTCAGATCTCGGTCATGGGGCTTGACGGGACTCCGTCTCGCCCGTGGTGAACCCTCCCGGCTTAACTGCAGTCTGGATGGCTTTCCCTTTTCCCATTCATTCCTTGTCATACGCTGCTGCCCTATTCCACTTCTAGGACTGGGTGTTCTCCAATTATTAGGCGCCACTCTTCAGATCACGCAAAACCCAACCCCTTCCTCCTCCCTTATCCTCCCACTGTTAGAAAATCCAATTCCTTCTTCAGCTCCACCCATTTTCCCTTCCCTTGTCAACCTACAAGTATTGGACACTTCTATCCCAACCGAGGCTTCTCATCAACCCCCAGTTGTCATCCATCTAAAATGCCGCGGTGGTTTGCCGTCCCAACCCCAATTTCCTATCTCCCACACAGACTTAGAAGGATTACAGCCTATCATCACCCACCTCACCTCCTAGACCAGAAACGGCCGACCTCTAGTCCCTCCCCTGACAGCAGGAAGTAGCCAGATTGAACACGGAGCCCCTTATCCTATCAAAGAGGTCAGAATGTTAGGATGGGCAGGGTAGGGTAAAACTACAGCTGAACTACAACCTGGAAAAGACAGCTGACATCAAACCAGAGAGCTGAAAGGGTGGGCTTTATAGGAGAACCGCCAATGATATATTGCTGCTTTGTTCAAAGGGGGCCAATCCCCAGCTCCCACAAAGAGAGTCAACCAAAATAAAACCCCCACTACGTTTCCCTGCTTGGGCGCGACTTCCCTGACCCCACTCTGCAGACCGGGGAACCTTGCCTGGACTCGCAAACCCCAATAAAGTTCTATACTGCCTAAGTTTGTGTCTGATTGGCAGGTCTTCTCGGTGGAACCTAAGAAAACCTTTCAGGATTCAGGAGGGAACCTGAGAAAGGTACGTGGAGGTGAGGACGCAGGGAGAGCTGAGTGCGTGCTATTTCAAATCCGTGCTTCCCTCGACACACTTAGGGCTGGCTAAGGCCTTTTACTAGAGTCCTAGGCCTGGGCGGGACTGCCCACCGGGACCTGCCCAGCTGGGAATTCACAGTCAGCAGCCCCGGGATCTACTTTTTTGTGCACGAGGGTTGTCGCACAAGGGGCCCCGATATGGCCCTGGGCTCAACCCCAACCCCTGCCGGGGCCAGTGGGACTTATAGCCCAGGAGCAGGTGGGCCCAGTGGGTTGGACATTACTAAGGGGAAGCCTGGGGTGAGGGGGCATTTTAGCCAAACAGGCCTAGCGGGATTCTTGCTGATGGTAGGCACAGGGCATCTGGCCACCCAGGGGACAGTGGTCAGATGTGGAGGAAGGAGGATTCTTGCTGAAGCTGGGAGATGCAGTAACAGCACCGAAGTCCAAAAGCAGGGGGCCCTGTGGAGCTCTAGTCGGGGGCTTCTGCTTGGAGTGAGGTGTAGCAGAGGGGCTGGGCCAGGGCCCTTTTCCCCTGCCCCGGTGCTGGGTCTGTCCCCTCCCCCACCCACCATGCACATCTGGGGCCCTTCAAGAAGAGCTAACATGTATTTGGCACCTAGTGTGTGCCCGGCATTGTTATAATCTTAACAGGCCACCTAAGTAGAAACATTTTATCTGACAGGAGGTTCAGGTTCCTAGAACTTGCAGAAGGGCACAAAGCTGGATCTGGGGCTCAAACCTTTACCCTTAGTCACTGGTCTTGGTCCCATGTGCCAAGTCAAGGGAGGAGGGGCCAATGCTGCCCTGGAGCCGGACGGCTACTGGTCCCAGGGACCCCTGAGAGCCCTGCCCTGCTCAGCCTCCCTTTGTCCAAATGCCGTTGTTGGCAGGCAGGAGAGTTCCCTCGAGGGGCTAACACCCCTGCAGAGCCGCAGGCACAGGGTCCTTTCTGGCCAGGTTCCCCGTGGCCCTCTCGAGGTGCATCCCCCAGTCCATAGCCCCCCTCCGCCCCTCCGGGAAGCATTGGCAACCCCAATAGGGCCGCTGGGCTCCGGCGACTGCGGCAGTACAGCCAAGTTGAGTCCATGAAGCAAGCTCCTTCCAAAGTGATTTCTGGTGGCCTCAGATAAAAAGCGGGCACACAAGACTTGATCAAAAGAGACGTACAAACCAAGAGGAAACTGGTTTTTGAGCTTTCACGCAGCCGCTTCACACGGGAAGATTCTGAGTTTCATGGTTCCAAGACTCAAAAAGGAGGAAGCATATAATTTCTCAAGGGAGTCCAAGGTGGTGGTTTTTTTTTTTTAAATTATGGAGAATATTTTTTAAAAGATTTTTATTTATCTTTAGAGGGGCCACAGCTCTTAACATGGCCACAGCTATTTAACATATCCATGAAACCAGTTAAAGGTTACAGATATGTTAAATGACCGTGCCAGAGGTTAGCTGCAAAGCTGTTGCTGTATAAAACAGCTCTCAATGGCCCTACTTAATGTGTCCCTTCCCCCAGCTCAGCCTTGTGGGGGTGAGGATGTGTGTGTGTGTGTGTGTGTGTGTGTGTGTGTGTGTATTTTAATATTTCTTGGACAACGAATTCTGGACCCCCTAACAAATCCCTATTTGCCCCCCACCCCAGCTTGGCTGCATGCTGTTACAGTTCAGGAATGTCAAACTCATTTTCACTGGGGGCCACATCAACCTCATGGTTGCCTTCAGAGGGCCGAATGTAATTTCAGGACTGTATGAATAACGACTCCTTAACTAGGGGCAAGGAGCTCGGCGCTGAGGCCGGGTAGAAACGCAGTGCCTAGCTGGATAAAACCAGGTGAAGGGCAAGATTCAGCCCGTGGGCCTGGTGTTTGCCACCTGTGGTCTAGACCTCTGATAAAGGCTGACTGTACCTCTGATAAAGGCTGACTGTGAGGGACGCGGGAGGCAGGGAGCTATGCCTGGCTGAGTGGGGGCCCAAGGGGCACCTGGGATGAAGGCGAAGCAGCACTGGGTGCTGGCTGCTCCCTGGTCAAGGCGGTCACCGGACCGGAAGGAAAGATCCCTTAAGTGAATTCACTTAAAATGGGAACCAAATCCTTGTCCTGTTAATGGTGCAGCGAGAGAATTTGAGAATTTATCTTGAAAAAAATTTCAAAGTTTTCAGTCAAGGAATTTTAGATTACGAATGCAATTACAGGCCAATCTGTAGAACCAAAAAGGATGAATGAGTGTTGCCTGGGCAGGGTCACAGTTTCCCCAACAAGTGGCAGGTCATATGCCCCCTCCACGTCGTGTGTGGTGTCCCAGCTGCACCGTAAGGAGCATCAGTTTTGCTGGGATGTCCAAGGGTGCTGCCCGTCGCCAGCTCCTGACCCCTGGCAGACATTCAGTTCACTTCGTGTTGAAGGGCCGTCCTGTCCAGCACCGCTAGGCCCTCCCACACCGGCCAGTGGCCTGTCAGAATGTCCCGCAGTGTGACATGGGTTTCCCGGATCGTGTGCCTTCCATAGAACTGACCCCTTGACCCTGCAGGTGATTGGCCCTGGACTTCCACAGCTTTGCAGGCCTTCTAGGCCTCATCACTGGGCACGCCCAGGAAGTTCTGGGGCTGCACCTGGGCGCCGTCCAGTGGCATCCCATGGAACAACGGTCCCCTTGTCAGCACAACTCCATCGCAACAGTGTCTTGTCCTGCACAGCCGCCTGACAGTTGGGTAATGGGAACCTCAACAAAGGCCCCGGGGGTGACGAACCTCGAAGGAGTCAGACTCCCGGCTTGAGAACCAACCTGTTCGGACGTGACTTTGTGCTTGTGGGCAACTCGCCTGTCAGCCTCCGTCGTGCCTGCCTGGCAGGACAGGGCCAGGCGGCACCAGGACCTTATCGACACAGTGGTGAAGTTCAGGACCGACCCGCCCTTCAGTAAGTGGAACCAGGGGGCTGCGTGTCACCCCGGTCCTGCAGGAGGCTCTCTGCAGGGTCTGCCCTCGCCACCGTCTTGTGGGCACGACACCCCTGTCATTCCTGTGAGACGTGGAAGTAGTGCAGCCGCTGCGTAGAGTGAACGGTTGCCTGGTGCACGCTCCTCTCCTGCCTTCGAGGAGCAGCCGACACCGTGTTGGCCGCGCGGCTGAGACACAGGCCCTTCCTTCCAGTGGTGTTACTGTATCGCGGGCCCAGGCAGCAGGGACGAGTGAGGGAAGGTGAACCCGTTAAAATGTTTTCAAGTGTGGGTGGCAGACACCCACGTGGAACCATAGGCGGGAAGAAGGATGGAGGAGGGACTGCCGAGGCAGAGAGGGCGAAGAGGCACGCAGCCGCTGCCGCCTCTGCTGGGGTCCTGCCGGCGCCATCCTCAGACGGGCTGCCCCCTGCTTGGGGCGGCCAGAGCCGCTGCAGCTCAGTTCTTTCCTTTGCCGGCTTTCCTAGCACAAGTCCCAGTATGGAGTCTGCACAGCCCAGCCTGGGTTCGCTCCTGTCCTCGAACAGGTCACTCTGGCCAGGGACTGGTCACCTGCCCAGCCCCCAACCATCTGTGTCTGAGAAAAAACAAGTGTGTGTAAAAGCCACTTCCTATGCATTTGGGAGCGGAAAGCACTTCTAGGTGAAAGGTTTGGAGCAAGCCGTCTTCCGGGGAGACCAGGGGACGTTGGGACTTGCCTGTGACCACCAGCTCCAGCCCAGGACTGCACTGCCCTGCTTACCAGGTGTGCAGTTGGCTTTCCCTTTGCGGCTTCCGTGCCTGTCATGCAGTGCCCCTCCTCCCTGGGGAGAGAGCTGGCCCTGACAAGGGGTCCCAGAGGTCCATGGGGAGGGTGGGGATGGCGGGGGGGCTCTTGGTTTGATGTTACGGGTTTCATGCTGTTTGTACTGTTACGGATAGCATCCTTTTTTTTTAATGACCACAAAGAAAGAAAGAAGGGAGGGAAAGAAACTTATGGCCTTGCAGGCAGGACTCTCGCCTCCTGGAGACACACGCACAGCCCCCAGGGAACCCAGGCAGGAGGGCTTAAGAAGCTAAAAAGGCCCCTTCCTGAGAAGAGCTGGGCCAGAGCGCCTGGGTTACCAGAAAACACCTCTAGGGGGCAGCAGAGACCACAGAATGCCCTGGAAGGGTGGAGCAGGGACTAGGCTGCGCCCGGAGTGGGCGGAGACAAGGTGTCCAGTCTCCTTGCTCCCTGCTGGGGAAGCTGGCTCCTGCTTCCCTCAGGCCCTCTCACCTCACCCTGTCCCCTCCCGGCGGAGGCCAGCAGCCAGCCCTCCCTCGCCCTGTCTCTCTGTTGTCTGGATGTCTTTCTCCCCCATCTAAACCGTCACCTAATGGCAAAGCTTGGTCCCGTGGAGGTGTGACACCTGTGGTTTATGTCACAGACACCCGCTGAGCCTGTCCTGAGGTCCAGTCCCTGTGCCCGGTAGCAAGAGGAGGCAGGCCAGCTGCGTGCTGTGGGCAGGCCAGCAGGCACACTGGGGCAGTAGGACAAAGAAACACATCTGCCTTGGACGGCGGAGCAGGCGCCTGCTGCCTGCTGGGTCCCTGTGGTCAGTATCCCTAGGCCTCAGAGACAATGGGGACACGATCCGGTGGCCAGGTGCCCGTCTCACTGTGCGTGGCTTTGCACACTCCTGAGGGTGACGCGCCCTCTCGGGTTCTCTGGAGGGGGCACTGGGTGGCGGGCAATGTTCTCACAGCTCCTCGCCTGGATGGAACCCCAAGTGTCACCCGGACTGGACATGAAACAGGGACCCAGCCTCACCCAGGGCTGGGCCTGGAGGAGCTTGGAGGGCCCTGGTATTTTTTTGAAGAAAGAACAGGCGCTTGTACAGGCCTTTTAAAATATATATTTTTAAAATTTATTTTTGGAGAGGAAGGGAGGGAGAATGAGAGAGAAACATACATGTGTGGTTGCCTGTCATGCGTCCCCTACTGGGGACCTGGCCTGCAACCCAGGCATGTGCCCTGACTGGGAATCGAACTGGTGACTCTGTTTTGCAGCCCATACTCAGTCTACTGAGCCACACCAGTCAGGACCTTTTTATTTTTTTTTTAACTTAAAAACTTGAGGCATGATTTACATGTAATAAAATGCACTTGGTGTGCAGTTCTGTGAGGTTTTTTTAAAATTATGTATTGATTTTAGAGAGAAAGGAAGGGAGGGAGAGAGAGGTCAGTGTGCTGTTCCACTCAGTTCCACAGGAACCCCTGGTTGGTTCTTGTCTGTGCCCTGACGGGGGACCGAACCCACAACCGGGACGATGCTCCAACCAACCTAGCCGCGGGCCAGGGCAAGTCAGAGAGTTTGGACCGACGCATGTGGTTGCATAACCACAGACACACTGAGGTACAGAGCAGAGCGGCCACCGTGCCCCCCAATCTCCTCTTGTCACTGCTTAGGTCAGCCTCTCCCCACCCCACCTGGTGGCCCTGATCTGTTCTTGTCCCCACAGCTCTGCCTTTTCCGGAGTGTCATTTGAATGACACTGTCCTGCACGGGCTCTCAAGGAGGGTGAGCTATGCATACATATTTGTGTGCGTGCCCACGTGTGTGAGGGTGTACATACGTGTACCTGGGCGTGCATGGGAACGTGTGCTGTGTGCGTATACCGGCAGGTAGCGGGCAGCCCAGGGATTTGGGGCCCCGCCGCGCCCCGCCCCTGTGGCTCCCTGCGGCCACGCCTCCTCGCTCCGAGTCCCGCCCGTGATCCCAGCGTGTCCCACTGCCTTCGTTCTTCCTGGGTGTTGTTTTTTGGTTTTCTGTGGGCCACAGTATTTTTCAAAACGTTTTAATTGTGGTAAAATAAATATACAATCTGCCATTCTAACCGCTTCTGAGTGTCCAGTTCAGGGACATCAAGCGCATTCACACTGTTGTGTGACTGTCATCACCGTCCCTCTCCAGGACTTTCTGCCTTCCCCACTGGGCCTCTGTCCCAAGGAAACACCCCACCCACCCCCGGACCCTGGCCCCTGGCCCCGCCCTCTGCCTCCCTTCTCTGTGACTGTGACCCCTCCATGCCCTCCCACGAGAGGGGCCACGAAGGCTGTGTCCTACTGTGTCTGGTTTATGTCCCTCAGCCCAATGTCCTCGAGACTCATCCACATCATAGCAGGAGGCAGCGTTTTCTTCCTTTTCAAGGCTGAGGAACCGTCACCATCGGGACGGGCAGGGCACGATGGGGCACTGGAGGAGGCCAGCAGGCCTGGTTCTGTTGACTCCTGTGCCACAGAAGCACTCGGCTGGTGCCCTGTGGCATCTGCCCTGGGGCCTCCACGTGCCTGTTGTCCCGGACGCTCCAGCTCCTGCACCCGGCCGGACAGACCAGGCCTTGCAGGGCAGGCTCCTCCCCAGTCAGCTGGCTCTCAGTGCAGCCTGCTGTGAGGCAGGGCCTCAGGGGCAGGGTCACTCGGAGGGCACAGCTTCTGCCCCCAGCATCTGCCCGTCTCCCTGGAAATCAGGCTTGGCTCCGGCACCGTCCCCCAAGTGTCTGGCACAGGCTGCCTGCCTCTTCTCTCCTGCATATGAATGGCTGTCTCCCTGCCCTCGAGGTGCCCACACCCTGCTTTCTCCCCCGTGTGTATCTGGTTTTCCTTGGCAGACTCGGGCCACGTCCCCGAAGCCTGCGCCCGGAGGGGGGAGGTAGAGTGGCTGAAGTCAGAGGCACGGACTCGGGCATATGACTTAAACTCATTACACCCGAAGAGCCCTCGGCCCCTGGAACTCGTCTGGGCCAGGCTTGTAATCTCGTTGGGCTGTGGGATAATTTGCTCAGCTGTGCTGCTCAGCTCAAGGTTAATTCAATTGGACTTGGGTTACGCATCTGTGCCTGGGTTTGCCAAGTGTCCTTGGCGGTACATGAGGTCTTCATTACAGCGGCGAGATGGCTTCATTATAGTGATGGCCACTCCTGCTGGACCCTCCCCTTCTGTCCTCCGCCCACCTCTGGGCCCTCCTGCCTCAGAGGGATGGTGGCCTGAAGTCCAGGCCCCAACTGAGCTGCCTAGACCATTACGAGGCTGGCCGCGTGGCTCCCCATGGGGTAACCAGGGCCCACATGCTGAGCGACTGCAATCCGCTGGCCTGCCGCCTGGGGTCTGTCCTCTCCAGGCTGCTCCTGGGGCTGGCAGCTGGGTTTGAGGGAGGGGCCCACTTCCCTGGAGGAACGTCCCAGGGCTGCCTGCCAGGGGCGAGGACAGAGCTTCAGAGCTTCTTGAGGTGGAACTTGCAGGCATCACTCCTGTCTGGGGCTGGCCTTGGCCTCAGGGTGGGGCAGTAGACCCTGTCCAGCAGTGGGGAGGAACCCTGTGGCCATCCAGGAAGGCAGTTTGCCACCAGAGTCCCAGCCGTCCAGCATGCACACTCACGGGGCAGGAGGCCCCACGGGCTGGGGACCAGTGGGAGCAGGAGGGGACGCAGGAAGGTGGGTCTGAGACAACGGGCTCGGAGGACTGGAGCGACTTAGACTTAGGGGACCCACGGGGGTCCTGAGAGCCGCCAGCGGGAATCAGGGGGCACAAATCACAGGAGGGACAAGGCGGGGACAAACAGCAGGGGGGCTCCAGGCAGCACCACCCCCGGCTCCATGCCCTCCAGCCGCAGCAGCCCCCTGAGACACCACCACTCCTGGCGCGTAGCTCACCGTCCTCCTGAGGGGCCTCCTGCCGAACTGCCGCCCTGCCTGGCTCCCTTTTCCTTTGGGCATCAGCCAAACCTGGTTCCCCTAGGGCACAGGCGGCAATCACAAGGCCCTCAGGCCAAATCCGGCCCTCCACCTTGTTTTATCCTGCCTGGCACCTTATTCCTACCAGCGGCAGCGCCGAGTAGCTCTCATTTAACTGTTAAGGAGTAGTTACATTTACACAGTCCTGACGTTACCTTCAGCCCTTTGAAGGCGACCGCGAGGCTGATGTGGCCCCGGTGAAACTGAGTTTGACACCCCTGCCCTGAGGCCTCCTTGCTCTCATCCCCAGGCTTCCTCATTTGCAGGCTGAGTGGCTCCTGGTGCTCTCAGGCGTCCTCCCATTTTGTTGCAACTTGCTGAGCCTCTCCACCACCTTGGCCTCCCTGCCTCCTTATTACTGGAGGAGGCTGTCGGAGGGGGCAGCGAGAGGGCACATGTCCGAGTTGGGGAGGGGTCTCGGTTCCCTGTGTCACCTGGAAATGGGACTCGGCAGCGTTCTCGGCTGGAAAGAAGGCAGATCTGCCATCTGTCCCCGTGTCCCTGTCCCCGCTTTCTGGGACTGTGGATGAGAGGTCAGCAGACTCAGAGTCTCCTCCAGGAAGTGGAGGGCACCCTGCTCTCCAGCTTCTTCCTGCGGCCACAGGGGCTGCCCGCCACCTGTGCCCTGCATGTGGCTTCCCGTGGGTGGGGCGGGTCCCAGAGGGGCCCTCCAAGGGCCTGGGAAGAACTGTGCAGCTGCTCTAAAAATACATTCATTTAAAATGTCATTCGCTGACCTTGAGGGCCAGAGTCGCCTGACTCCTGTTGTTTGTTTTCTGGAGCAGGTGGCTGGGGTGCCCTGGCTGCCAACCCTGAACAAGAACCCCCCCTGCAGCCTTTCTCACTGACCACTTGGCCTCCAGGACTTCCACCCTCAGACCCTGTGTCCCCCAACTCCAAGAGGAGCTGCCACACGGCTCTGGCGTGGACGCGGCCTCAGCTGAAAGGCTGTACTGACAGTGAAGTACCCCCAGACCCATCACGTCCTCAGGCTGTTCCCCGTGGGAATGACCTTGTCAGAAGTGCAGCTGTGAAAAGCAGGGTGCCGTGCACCTCCTGGCTGGGGACCAGACACACCGGGCGTGCAAACACTGCACGTGTGCACTCGGTGTGCAAGTGTGTTTGCATGGGTGTGTGCAGGTGTGCATGGAATGTGTGTGGCCTCCGAAACCCGAGAGTCAGAGCTGCCCACCCTTGTGTTCCCAGGCTCAGGACAGGGCCCACCAGCCAGTAAACCCGGGTCGGCCGTGAGACACAAACTGCCACTCAGGGTCCAGGCCTTGCCAGTGAGAAGCCGCTGCCCGGAGACAGGAGTGGCTTGCCCCAGGTTGTTCGGCTTCTAGAGGCCACACCCGGGTTCAGCACCGGCCTCCCTTGGCCCAGACCCAGTGCGTCACTGTGGCGGCTCCGGTTCCCAGCTCCCCAAACAGCCCTTCTGAAGGTCTGCTTTCCCACAGCCTTCTGGTGCCCGTCCAGAGCCTCCCTTCTGGACCGCCGCCCCCTGGAGCCCACCCTTGCAGTCCCGCAAACCTGCCCACAGGGGCCGCTGGTCATGTCAGCGTGGCGGCACCGTCCTCAGAGCCCCTCTCTGGGGGTCTGAATCAGCACGGCCCACCCTGGTCTCGCTCGAAGACCCTCCGCCTCAGACTCCTGCTCACTGGGAGCACACTCCGGGCTTGCCCAGATGCTGGCCCAGCCCTGGAGCAGGGTGAGGTGGTCCCGGCCCAGCCCGGCAGCCCTGACACCTGTACTCCATGAGTCAGGCTCAGCCATGGGGGGTTTTCCAACCTGGTGCATGCAGATCAGTGGTTCATAAATGTCCTTCCGAGGGTGCCGTGTGCCAGGCCCCAAGGCTTTCTGGAAATGCCTTGTGTTGTGGGTGTTTGGTCAGGGTGCCAGCACCGAGTGCCTGCTGGGCCTGGAGGCCAGGACAGCGCTGGTCTCTGAGTCGGGTTTGGAGACCACACACGATGGTGATGATGGTGGTGGTGGTGGTGGTGATGATGGTGATGATGGTGGTGGTGGTGGTGGTGATGATGGTGATGGTGGTGGTGGTGATAGTGGTGGTGATGGTGATGATGGTGGTGGTGGTGATGGGGGTGACGGTGATGATGGTGATGGTGATCAGGCACAGGGAGTGAGTATCCCACTGAGTCAACTCTGTGGAGCCCACAACAAGGGGCAAACTGGGGACAGTCAGGGTCTGAGTAGGAACAGAGTCTCTCAACCCCCTTCAGCCCCATGCAGCACCTCAGGGGCCTGGCCCGAGATGAGTCTGGCTGAGGGCGTAGGTCCCTGAGAACTCAGAGGGACAATGGTGCAGCAAAGGGCAGTTCTGGTCCTGGGGATGGGGAAGGGCCTAGGGTGGGGGAGAGGAGGAGCCAGGCACCTCATCCCCTTCATGGCTTGGGTCCACGGGGCTCTAGCAGCACCCATCAGGTGTGGGGACATGGGAAAGTGTGGGAGGGGCAGGGTCCGGCCCTGGGCATCATGGGAGACTGAGGCCCAAGTCCCTGCCCCTCCCAGCATGGCACAGGCAAAGGCGACAGGTAGGGCCCCGCTGTACACACCCTGTGTGGGTGCTCAGTGCACTCAGAAGTCCCCTGAGTTCCACCGAGAGGACACAGGTCCCCAGGAGGCTGGCCAACCAGCAGAAGTGCTATCAGGGACGAGGAGGAGGCCACAGTCCTGGAGGACGCTGTGACCCGAACAATGACCTTGAGAGAGGACAGTGTGGAGCCACCCTGGTGCGCGCGGCAGCTGGACACCAGCCCTCCCCCGATGCTCTGCAGAACCCGATGCGCTCGTGAGTTTGGCAAGCGTCACCGGCTTCCAATTTGTGGGGGAAGCGACCTTTCATATTTCAGATCAGGTGGAGTTAATTTGCACTCCAAGTTCAAGAGAGCTCCTGAGAAGGTACGAATGTGACTTCTTAACAGCTGGCGCTGCAGGACGTGACATGACAGAAGAGATGAGGAGCCGGGACTCACTTTAAAGGGATAGAAATGCATGCTCTCTGCCCAGAGCCCCCGGCAGCGGCCATCAGAAGGGAAAAGCCCAAGGGAGCACCAGGCCCAGCTGCTCACCAGCCCTGACCCACCGCCATCCTATGTCAGTTCGAATGCCACCAATGACAGGGGGCTCACCCCCTACAAGAGCAGCCAGATCTCATGCTGGTCAGGTTTGGCCATGAGAAGGCCATAACCAAGTGCTTCTGTGTGAGGTCGGATCTGCTTTTGCTGATCCTGTTCTGCCCTCTGAAGACACACAAGCTCACGCCCTCCTGCTCCTCATGCTAGCCCTTAACCAAGTGTCCCCACACGGAGGTCCAGGTCCCGCCATCCTGTCCCGGGGGTGTCATGCTTTGCCAGAGGCCCTAAGTGAGGGGTCAAACACTAAGTTCCTTTCTCCAACTGACCAACCAAGCTTCCTCCGCCTTCCTACCTCTGGACACCCCAGCTCCAGCAAGACAGCCAAAGCTCACATCCACAGCGCATGTCTGCAGCGCCCCCTACTGCCTGCTGCATGTGCCAGTCTGTGCCTCAGTGCTGGGGTCCCGGTGGGAGAGGCTGCCTGCAGGAGGGGTGAGCCTGGCAGGGTGATGCATTGGCTATGCTGGGGCTGTTGGTTCTAGGAGCAACCCACTGGCCCGTGGTGGCCCAGCTGTGGTGTTTGCCCTGGGGCCCTACCCATGCCCACCCTGGGCCCCTCACAGCCCGACCCCTGGGCTCCAGGACAAACATGTCACCTTTTCACTCCAGACTCAGAAGTCAGAGAGCATCAGTCAGAGGCCGAAAGCAGCCCCTCAGAATCCCTGTGTCGGGCCCCAACCCCCAGGCCTCGGGGTGGGAGAGAGTGTGGAGGCAGCGTCTGCACTGTGCTGACCACACTGGTGTGAGGCTGTGAGTGTGGGCCCTGCCCCACTGGGACCAGGGTGAGGGGGCAATGGCATGGAGACACACGCAGGGACGGCCACGCAAGAAGATGGCCATCCACCTGCCCAGGACAGAGGTCTCGGGAGAAACCGGCCCTGCCCGCGCCTGGGCCTTCTGGCCTCCGGAGCCGAGGGACAGTGGCTGTCTGTGGGTCGAGGCGCCGGCTGTGGCATTTGCTATTGTCCCTGAGCTGATTGATGGAACATCTGTTCTGGAGGTGATCACAAAGGCCTCTCCAGGTTAGAGGAACGGTCCTGGGAGAGTGGAATCCAGGCGTGGGAGGGGTGGGAGCTGGGCGGCGGGCTGTGAGCAGACCAGCATGCCTGGACATGGGCGGGGGAGGGGGCGTGAGGTGCAGGGGGGTGCTCGGAGCCTGCTGTGGAGCCCTCATGACCTTGACTGAGGGCAGGGCACCTACCTGCTTTGCACCCTGGGGGGCAGAGGCGGGATTCTGAGCCCACTGAGTGCAGAGCCTGTGGCCTGGGGGCTGAGAGCACTGCTGCCCCTCAGGGAGGGACCCCCACTGGGGCAGGAAGCCCCTGCCTCTCCGCTCTGCCCTCTCCCATCAGCACTCCGACCCCCAACCTTTCCAGCCGGCCCCCTTGAATTACCGCTGCAGGATTCATGCTGTTTCGGGCAGAGGCCCTGCGTCCATGTGCGTTTTTTCCTCTGGTCACTTGTCTAACAGGCTGGGAAGCCATCTTGGACAGCAACCATCTCGGACAGTGGCCGCACATGGCATTTCTGGGTGATGAGAGGCGGGAGAGGATGACCTGGTGGTGAAGATGGCCACTCTGAACGGGTCTCCCGGAGCGGAGCCAAGGCTCGTGGGGACTGACATGGCTCCTCTGTGTCCCCAGTGGGTGGCCTCGGGGCCCCAGCCCAAGTCAGAGCTTCGCCCGCATGGCAGCCAGCGAAACTGGGCTTCTCTGTGCCCACGACTGTCTGCAGAGCGTGGGTAAGCGTGTTTAGTTATTCCCCATGAAATATTTTACAAAGTGCTTGCCACACACAAAATGCTCAATAAAAGCTGGAGATTAAAGAGGCGTAAACTCCGTTTAAGCCCTGAAGGCCTGCCTCCTGGGAGGAGCCCTCGGGGCCTGCGCAGGCCGGGCCTCCCCAACCTGCACCGGGCCGGCCGCTTGCCTCCTGTCCTCCGCCCTCTGGCCCCCAGGGCTGGTCCCCGGAGCGGCCGGGGGCTGCCAGCAGGAAGTGTTTCCGCCCGGAGAGCGGGCTGGCAAATCCATGGGCGAACATTTGCAGGTACCACTAAGCTGACAGAGTGACTGATAATTTAGATTATATTAAAACTCTCTGACTTTGTCTGAGTAAATTAGAAAAACAAAATGAGATTTATCAAGGGTAAAGCCAGAGCAATGGAAAGGGAGAGACTTAGGGAGAGGCAGGCGGCAGCGTGGCGGAGCGGGATGGGGAGGAGCAGCCGGCTCTGACAAGGCTGCCTGCAGGGGTGCCCAGGGGCCCGGGCCCGGCCAGGCTCAGTGGGGCAGGAGGGATGTACTTGGCCCCTCGGGAGGTGGCAGCAGTGCCCCCGGGCTGGGGGCCCAGACCGTCCTTGGGAAAGTCCGCCCCCAGGAGCCTGTTCCCTAGCAGCTCCTTCAGGCGCATTGAGCACCTACTGCACGCACCGAGTGCCTACTGTGCGCACTGGGCTGCGTTGCTCACGTGACTGAGTGCTTCTGTACGCTGGGTGCCTCCACAGCATGACCCCAGTGAGTGCGGCCACGATTCTGCCGCTCAGCGGTGGGCGTGCTCAGGCGAGGGTCTGAAGCAGCAGAGATTCTGTCCTGTTTTGCGTGTGA